GATCGTCAGGACAGTTTTCTATAGAAAAGTGATCGTCAGGACAGTTTTCTATAGAAAAGTGATCGTCAGGACAGTTTTCTATAGAAAAGTGATCGTCAGGACAGTTTTCTATAGAAAAGTTATCGTCAGGACAGTTTTCTATAGAAAAGGACAGTTTTCTATAGAAAAGTGATCGTCAGGACAGTTTTCTATAGAAAAGTGATCGTCAGGATAGTTTTCTATAGAAAAGTGATCGTCAGGACAGTTTTCTATAGAAAAGTGATCGTCAGGACAGTTTTCTATAGAAAAGTGATCGTCAGGACAGTTTTCTGTAGAAAAGTGATCGTCAGGACAGTTTTCTGTAGAAAAGTGATCGTCAGGACAGTTTTCTATAGAAAAGTGATCGTCAGGACAGTTTTCTATAGAAAAGTGATCGTCAGGACAGTTTTCTATAGAAAAGTTATCGTCAGGACAGTTTTCTATAGAAAAGTGATCGTCAGGACAGTTTTCTATAGAAAAGTGATCGTCAGGACAGTTTTCTATAGAAAAGTGATCGTCAGGACAGTTTTCTATAGAAAAGTGATCGTCAGGACAGTTTTCTATAGAAAAGTGATCGTCAGGACAGTTTTCTATAGAAAAGTGATCGTCAGGACAGTTTTCTATAGAAAAGTGATCGTCAGGACAGTTTTCTATAGAAAAGTGATCGTCAGGACAGTTTTCTATAGAAAAGTGATCGTCAGGACAGTTTTCTATAGAAAAGTGATCGTCAGGACAGTTTTCTATAGAAAAGTGATCGTCAGGAAAGTTTTCTATAGAAAAGTGATCGTCAGGACAGTTTTCTATTGAAAAGTGATCGTCAGGTTGGTTTTCTATAGAAAAGTGATCGTCAGGTTGGTTTTCTATAGAAAAGTGATCGTCAGGTTGGTTTTCTATTAAAAGTGATCGTCAGGTTGGTTTTCTATAGAAAAGTGATCGTCAGGTTGGTTTTCTATAGAAAAGTGATCGTCAGGACAGTTTTCTATAGATAGTGATCTTCAGAAAAGTTTTATACAGAAAAATAATCGATGGGGAAATTTTCTTTTAAAACGTAATCGATATAAAAGTTCTAACTAGAATAAAGTTTATTAACAATTTAACTGGAACTGATTCTTTAGATGATAAAAATCTTTTATAATAATTGTAGTGCTTATCTATACAGTAAATTTCTAGTTCAACTCAAGGACATTTTAAACTTAATTTATTTAACCATTTATTCACTTCATACTTTACCATAACTGTTAACTTTTATTACAACTTTTTGTTTAAATAAAATTAATATAAAAAATATTTATTAAATCTTACTTAAACATTGAAAATATAATAACTTTAAAATTTGTTTATAAAGATTTTATTTTTTATTTATTTTATACCAACTGCCTTCTTTTATTTTTTCCATCAAGTATTTTTATTTTAACATTTAATTATGGCCCAAATGGAAATACCATTTAGTAGTTGACTGGCTGTCATAAAAACTACAAAACGGTTTGTTTCTATTTTAGGCCAAAGTTAAGGTCATTTGTAAAAATAAATTATACGATTTTATTTTTGGTAAACGTATGTTGTTACTTTTTGAAGAGTGTTACCACAAATTTAGCCTAATTATTAATGCAAGTCAACGACTTCATTTATTTACTTATTTATTTATACACTCTAGTGTTTAAATAAACAATTGTTTGTATCTATTTGTTTATGCTTAAGCTTTAATACTTAATTTAATATATTTAAGTAAATTTTATTTTAATTAATTATTTGTCGGTTGTTAGCGTTAAACACGCGTTTTAATGACATTTATAGATGAAGTTAAAAAGAAAAACATAAATAATAAATGTGTCAACCTGTTAATAGAGTAATTGGTAAATTGTTGCTTTTGAAATGAATTATTTTGTATTTTAGCTTCCGTTGTCAGATGGTTTTTAAAGGTATAAAATTTTCTATAAATTTTTAGTTTTCTAATTGAACTTTAATATCGACCGAATTTTATTTGGAGAATATTTTCTAAAAATTTTTAATTTTTTAGAAAATTTATAGACAAATTTCAAGAGAAAGGTTTTCTATAGGAAAGTGATTAACAGTGAAATTTTCTATAGAATAGATGTTTGATCGACATAGGAGTTTTCTGAGAAAAATTATCGATATATAATATTTCTATGAAAAAGGTCGATAGAAAAATTTTCTGTAAAACCATGATCGATGGAGAAGTTTTTTGGAAAAAAGTTCAAAAGAAAAGTGATCGAAAAAAAAAGATCGACAGTGAAGTTTTCTATAGAAAAGTGATCGATAGAGAAGTTTTCTATGGAAAAGTGATCGATAGAGAAGTTTTCTATGGAAAAGTGATCGATAGAGAAGTTTTCTATAGAAAAGTAATCGATAGAGAAGTTTTCTATAGAAAAGTAATCGATAGAGAAGTTTCCTATAGAAAAGTGAGCGATAGAGAAGTTTTCTATAGAAAAGTGATCGATAAAGGTGTTTTCTTTAGAAAAGTGATCGATAGAGAAGTTTTCTATAGAAAAGTGATCGACAAAGAAGTTGTTAATAAAAAAGTAATTGACAGAGAAATTTACTATAGAAAAGTTATCGACAGAGAAGTTTTCCTTACAAAAGTGATCGACAGAGGTGTTTTCTATAGAAAAGTGATCGAGAGAGGTGTTTTCTATAGAAAAGATATATAATATTTCTATGAAAAAGATCGATAGAAAGATTTTCTATAAAACCATGATCGATGGAGAAGTCTTTTAGAAAAAAGTGGTCGATAAATAACTTTTCTAAAGAAAAGTGATCGAAGAAGAATTTCTCTATATAAACAAAAAATCGATATAGAATTTTTCTTTATAGAAAAGATTGACAGAGAAGTTTTCTATAGAAAAGTGATCACTAGAGAAGTTTTTTGTAGAAAAGTTACCGATAGATAAGTTTTCTATAGAAAAGTTACCGATAGATAGGTTTTCTATAGAAAAGTGATCGATCGATGGTGACATTTTCTATAGAAAAGTAATCGATGGAGGCGTTTTCTATAGAAAATTGATCGACAGAAAAGTTTTCTTTAGAAAAGTGATAAGTTTTTTTATTGAAAATAATCTATAGATATACTTTCGATACTGTTTTCTATAGAAAAATGATCTACAGAGAAGATTTCTATAGAAAGGACAGAGAAGTTTTCTTTAGAAAAGTGATCGACAGGATTGTTTTCTATAGAAAAGTAATCGACAGGACAGTTTCTATACAAAAGTGATCTAGAGTATATTTTTTTCTATAGAAAACAGAAGGACAGTTTTGTATAGAAAAATGGTCTATTGGAATGTGATCGACAGGAAAGTTTTTTTTAGAGAAAGTGATAAATAGGACTGTTCTCTATAGAAACATGATCGACTGGACAATTTTCTATAGAAAAGTGATCGACAGTGGATTTTTCTACAGAAAAGTGATCGACAGTGAAGTTTTCTATAGAAAAGTGATCGACAGTGAAATTTTCTATAGAAAAGTGATCGACAGTGAAGTTTTCTATAGAAAAGTGATCGACAGTGAAGTTTTCTATAGAAAAGTGATCGACAGTGAAGTTTTCTATAGGAAAGTGATCGACAGTAAAGTTTTCTATAGAAAAGTGATCGATAGAGAAGTTTTCTATAGAAAAATGAGCGATAGAAAAGTTTTCTATAGAAAAATAAGCGATAGAGAAGTTTTCTATGGAAAAGTGAGCGATAGAGATGTTTTCTATAGAAAAGTAAGCGATACAGCTGTTTTCTATAGTAAAATGGTCGACAGAGAAGTGAAAAGTGATAGATAGAGAAGTTTTCTTTAGAAAAGTGATCGATAAAGGTGTTTTCTTTAGAAAAGTGATCGATAAAGGTATTTTCTTTAGAAAAGTGATCGATAGAGAAGTTTTCTATAGGATAGTGATCGACAGAGAACTTTTCTATAGAAAAGAGATTGACAAAGAAGTTCTTAATAAAAAAATTATTGACAGAGAAGTTTACTATAGAAAAGTGATCGACAGAGAAGTTGTCCATAGAAAAGTGATCGACAGAGAAGTTTTCTATAGAAAAGTGATCTAAGGAAGAGTTATCGGCAGAAAAATTGATCGATAGAGAAGTTTTCTATAGAAAAGTGAGCGATGGAGAAGTTTTCTATGGAAAAGTGATCGATAGAGAAGTTTTTTATAGAATAGTAATCGATAGAGAAGTTTTCTATAGAAAAGTGATCGATAGAGAAGTTTTCTATAGAAAAGTGAGCGATAGAGAAGTTTTTTATAGAAAAGTGAGCTATAGAGAAGTTTTTTATAGTAAAGTGATCAACAGAGAAGTTTTCTATAGAAAAGTAATAGATAGAAAAGTGATCGATAAAGAGTTTTCATTAGAAAAGTGATCGATAATGAAATTTTATATAGAATAGTGATCCACAGAGAAGATTTCTATAGAAAAGTGAAAGAAGTTTTTAATAAAAAAAATGATTGACAGAAAATTTTTTTTATAGAAAAGTGATCCGCAGAAAAGTTTCTTATAGAAAAGGGATCAACAAAGAAATTTTCATTAGAAAAGTGCCCTACAGAGAAGTTTTCTATAGAAAAGTCATCAATAGAGAAATTAAAAAAAAATTTATTTTTAAATTACTTGGAGAAAATATCAAATCAATGTTCGTTCTTTTCAAATATTTTAATAAATTTAATAATTTAATTTCAAAATTTACTCTTACAACTTGTTGTTTTTGTTTAATTTCTAATTAATTAAAGTGTTGACATCTAACTACATATTTAAAGTTGTTCTTGTTAAAATACTCAAACACAGAAATTTTGTTAAAAAAAATGTTATTAAAACATGTAACAGATTTGTATCGTCGTTAATTAAAAAGCTTTATTAATTCTATATTCCCATTGCATAAATTAAAACTAAACAAGATAAAAAATTAACTTAAAAAAATGTACAACAAACTATTAACACGCAAATGGAAAATATTAAAACATGTGTACATTTTTCTATTAACATTTACAGGAAGGACCACATTCCACCCTACCAGAAGATGAATTTTTCGATGCCGTCGAAACTGGTTTGGATAAAATTGAAGAGGACATGCAATTACGAACCAAATTAAAACTTCAATCACAGCAATCACAGAATTCCACACACAATTCAATACATTTAGCACAACCCGATGATGAAGAGGGCAGTGCAGCCGAAGAGTTTGGTACCGGTGCCTTAGCGAAATCACACAATTTATGGCCAGAGGTTAGTGTAGTTTAAGACGAAAAAGAATTGAATAAAATTTAAACGGAAATTATTATTTATGTTTTTGATTTCATTTTTACTTTTTAATAGATTGATCGTGTTTGTATGGAACAATTACATTATGCTCGCCAGGGTGTGGGACAGGATGGTAATGGTTGGCAAATATTTGCCGATGAGGGTGAAATAAAAATGTATAAACGTGAGGAGGAGGTTAATGGTATGGTTATGGATCCTTTGAAAGCCTATCATACGGTTAAGGGAGTAACGGCTAGAGAAATGTGTCATTATTTCTTTATGCCTGAGTTTCGCAATGATTGGGAAAGTGAGTATAAAAGATAATATTAAGTTTATTATTATTAAGAAAATATTCCATAAATTTTCTTTAAGTTGAACATTTTTAAAGGAAAGTGATCGACAGAGATATTTTCTATATAAATTTAAAAGTCAGAGAAGTTTTCTACAGAGAAGTTTTCTTATAGAAAAGTGATCGACACAGAAGTTTTTTTTTATAGAAAAGCGATCGGCAGAGAGGTTTTTTATAGAAATGTTATCGATAGAGAAGTTTTTTTATAGAAAAGTGATCGACGGAGAAGTTTTCTATGGAAAAGTGATTGACACAGAAGTTTTTTTTATGTTATCGATAGCGAAGTTTTTTATAGAAAAGCGATCGACGGAGAAGTTTTCTATTGAAAAGTGATCGACAAAGAAAAGTGATCTACAGAGAAGTTTTCTTATAGAAAAGTGATCTACACAAAAGTGTTTTTTTATAGAAAAGCGATCGACAGAGAGGTTTTCTATAGAAATGTTATCGATAGAGAAGTTTTTTATAGAAAAGCGATCGACGGAGAAGTTTTCTATGGAAAAGTGATCGACAAAGAAGTTTATTCTAACGAAATGTGATCGACAAAGAAGTTTTCTATAGAAACGTGATTGACAGATATGTTTTTTATAGAAAAATGTTCAACATAGAAATTTTTATAGAAAAGTGATCGACGGAAAAGTTTTCTGAAAAAGTAAATCGAGAGAGAAGTTTTCTGTAGAAAAGTTATATCTTGAGATGTGGTCAACAGACATATTTTCTAAAGAGAAATGATCAACAGAGAAGATTTTTATAGAAAAGTTTGTGAGAAAAGAGATCGATAGAGAATCGCTTTTCTATAAAAAACTTCTCTGTCGATAACATTTCTATAGAAAACCTCTCTGTCGATCGCTTTTCTATATAAAAAAAAAACTTCTGTGTCGATCACTTTATACCTGAGAGGTTTTCTATAGAAAAGTTATATTTAGAAGTTTTCTATGAAAGAGTGATCGTTAGAGAAGTTTTTTAAAAAGTGATCTTTTGTGAAGTTTTCCATAGAAAAGTGATCGTTAGAGAAGTTTTCTATGAAAAAGTGATCGTTAGAGAAGTTTTTATAAAAGAGTGATCGTTAGTGAAGTTTTCTATAGAAAAGTGATCGTTAGAGAAGATTTCTTTAGAAAAGTGATCGTTTGAGCAGTTTTCTTTAGAAAAGTGATCGTTAGAGCAGTTTTCTTTACAAAAGTGATCGTTAGAGCAGTTTTTTTTTTAGAAAAGTGATCGTTAGAGCAGTTTTCAATAGAAAAGTGATCGTTAGAGCAGTTTTCTTTAGAAAAGTGATCGTAAGAGCAGTTTTCTTTAGAAAAGTGATCGTTAGAGCAGTTTTCAATAGAAAAGAGATCGTCATGACAGTTTTCTGTAGAAAAGTGATCTTCAGGACAGTTTTCTATAGGAAAGTGGTCGTCAGGACAGTTTTCTTTGGAAAAGTGATATTTAGGAGTTTTTTCTATAGAAAAGTGATTGTTAGACAGTATTCTATAGAAAAGTGATCGTTAGACAGTTTTCCATAGAAAAGATCGTTAGAACAGTTTTCTTTAGAAAAGTGATCGTTAGAGCAGTTTTCTATAGAAAAGTGATCGTCAGGACAGTTTTCTCTAGAAAAGTGATTTTCAGGACAGTTTTCTATAGGAATGTGGTCGTCAGGACAGTTTTCTTTGGAAAAGTGATCTTCATTCTATAGATATTCTATAGAAAAGTGATCGTTAGACAGTTTTCCACAGAAAAGTGATCGTTAGAGCAATTTTCTGTAGAATAGCGATCGTTAGAGCAGTTTTCTATAGAAAAGTAATCGTTAGAGCAGTTTTCTATAGAAAAGTGATCGTTAGAGCCGTTTTTAGTAGAAAAGTGATCGTTAGAGCAGTTTTCTTCAGAAATGTGATCGTTAAATCAGTTTTCTATAGAAAAGTGATCGTTAGAGCAGTTTTCTATAGAAAAATGATCATTAGAGCAGTTTTCTATAGAAAAGTGATCATTAGAGCAGTTTTCTATAGAAAAGTGATCGTTAGAGCAGTTTTCTATAGAAAAGTGATCGTTAGAGCCGTTTTTAGTAGAAAAGTGATCGTTAGAGCAATTTTCTACAGAAAAGTGATCTTTAGAAAAGTTTTAGAAATATTTTAGAAATATTTTATTTATTTCTGTATATTAATTTTTGATTAAATTTTTATTTTCTACCAACAGCTACCTTAGAAGATTGTATTATTTTGGAAAAGATCTCACCTGATACATTTTTATTTTTACAAACACACAAACGTGTTTGGCCCGCTAGTCAAAGAGATGCCCTATTCTGGTCTCATATGCGCAAAATTACAGATGGTCTAGATGATGGTGCCTATGACACCTGGATAGTTTGTAATAATTCAACAGAGTATTCCAAACAAGAGGTAAGTTCTATAACAAATTAATTGCTTCAATAGTGTAATGAAATGATTATTCCACAGTCGAAAAATGGCAAATGTGTGAGAATATTTTTAACAGTGATACTTGCCTGTCAAACCATTTTACCGCCGGGTAAAACTAAACATGATAAATTAAATAGAAATGAATTAACTTGTAAGGTGACCTATTGTTCAGTGGGTAAGTTAGATTTCAAGTAAAAATCTGTAATTTTGTTTAATGGTTTTTTTTTGTTTCAGTTAATCCCGGTGGCTGGGCTCCTGCTTCTGCTTTACGCGCTGTTTATAAGCGTGAATATCCAAAGTTCCTTAAACGTTTTACCGGCTACGTGATAGACCAGTGCAAAGAGAAACCCATTATGTTCTGATATTTGCCATTTTCATTCTTATTATTAATATTATTATTGTTATAGTAAAGTAATTTTATATTTTATATATTTTTTTCCTGTTTATCTTTTCCGTTAAAAGCAAATGTTTGAAATGTATGTATTTTTTTCTTTATTGTTTTTCTAGCTACAATTTGTGTAATGTAATTGTTGTGAATAAGTTGTTGCAATTCTAAATGTAATTTGGAAGTTATAAAAATCTATTTTTTATAGCTGTTAATAGTATATTTCTTATTTACTGCTAATATTATTTAAACATTAATGTTTTAGAAAACTGCAGAAAGAACTTTATGTTAAACTTCGAAAATAAATGATCAAATGAGTTTGTCTATATGAAGGGAAAATATTTCTTACATATTGCTTTGAAACTAATTGATAAGTTTTTAATTAAATTTATTATTTTCTAAAATATACGTTTTTTGTATAGTTTTTTTTTTATTTTTATTTAGTTTAAGTTTTTTTCACATAAGAAAAGTTTTTTTTTTTAAGAAAAGGCACATGAAAATATAAATGGAAATAAAAGTTTCAATTTTATATTGTTAAATTTAATTTGTCTTGAAAAAAACATGTTTTTCGTACTGATTTCGGTAGAATTAGAAAACGATGTAAATATTTTGAAATATTTTCTTTAATTTAAAAATATTTTGATGAATATTATTTTTATCTCATTTTCTGATAAAATTTCTTTAACTCTAAGGTTTTTTTTGATAAATTTCTATAGGAAAGTGATCGACAGAGGAGTTTTCTATAGAAAAGTGATTGACAGAGAAGTTTTCTATAGAAAAGTGATCGACAGAGAAGTTTTCTATAGAAAAGTGATTGACAGAGAAGTTTTCTATAGAAAAGTGATCGACAGAGAAGTTTTCTATAGAAAAGTGATCGACAGAGAAGTTTTCTATAGAAAAGATCGACTGAAAAGTTTTCTAAAGAAAAGTGATCGATGGAGAAGTTTTCTGTGAAAAAGGGATCAATATAGAGAAGTTTTCTATAGAAAAGTGCTTGATAGAGAAGTTTTCTATATAAAAGTGATCGACTGAAAAGTTTTCTAAAGAAAAGTGATCGATGGAGAAGTTTTCTTTGAAAAAGGGATCAATATAGAGAAGATTTCTATAGAAAAGTGATTGATAGAGAAGTTTTCTATATAAAAGTGATCGATATAAAAGTTTCAAGAGAAAAGTGGTCGATATACAAAAGTTTTCTATAGAAAAGTGATCGACTGAAAAGTTTTCTATAGAAAAGTGATCGATATAGAGGCGCTATAGACGTTTTCTAACGAAAAGTGATCGGTAGAGAAGTTTTCTATAGAAAAGTGATTGATAGAGAAGTTTTCTATAGAAAAGTGATCGACTGAAAAGTTTTCTAAAGAAAAGTGATCGACAGAGAAATTTTCTATAGAAAAGTGATCGACGGAGAAATTTTCTATAGAAAAGTGATCGATATAGAGAAGTTTTCTGTAGAAATATGAGCAATAGGAAAGTTTTCTATGGAAAAGTGATCGATATAGAGAAGTTTTCTATAGAAAAGTGATTGACAGAGAAGTTTCCTAAAGAGAAGTGATCGACACAGAAGTTTCTTATTGAAAAATGATCGACAGAGAAATATTCTATAGAAAAGTGATGGACAGAGAAGTTTTCTATAGAAAAGTGATCGGCTGAACAGTTTTTTTATAGAAATGTGATTGATAGAGAAGTTTTCTATGGAAAAGTGATAGATATAGAGAAGTTTTCTATAGAAAAGTGATTGATAGAGAAGTTTTCTGTAGAAAAGTGATCGACAGAGAAGTTTTCTATAGAAAAGTGATCAACTGGAAAGTTTTCTAAAGGAAAGTGATTGATGGAGAAGTTTTCTGTGAAAAAGTGAACGATAAAGACATGATGGATAAAAAAGTTGTCTATAGAATAGTTATGTATAGAGAGGTGATCGATAGAAGAGTTTACTATTATTATTTCCTTTAAAAACAACATTTTAAGACACATTTCAAACACCAGTTTAAATTACTAATAAAAATTGTAAATACAAATATGTTTAGAAAATTCTTTAAACAATTACTTTTATTTAACACATACATATTTATAAACAAAATTCTAAAGAATTGCTAAAAACGTTAACAACACAATTCCAACAAGGCTATTTAAATGTAACACTAACCTTTTATAATAACTGTAAATACTACAAAGAAGATTTGTTATTTTTTTGAAAATAAATTATTTCCAAAATTAAAATAAAGAAAAATGTTTTATTAAAAATAAAATATTTTTCTTAAATACAAAAAAAAACTAATAAAGTGCTATAGTTGTTTTAAATGTAATAAAGAAATTTCAACAAAGTTGTTAAGCCTAAATAAATAGTAAACTATGAGCAAAAAAAAAAAAAGAAATTTAAATTGTTAAAAACAAATTATATTTTATATTTTTAAAAGCATTTATTTTGAAGTAGTAGCTATAAAATACACACATTAACACAAATTAATTTTATTTTATAAGGACAATCAGCTGCAAATTTCAAACACAATTATTAATGTTAAAATACACACACACACAATATTATATTAAATGTTAATTATCTTATTGTATAAAAGAGAATTGTAAAAGAAATAAAAATAAAAACAAGTAGGAGTTCTATATTCGGGTGTGCCGAATCGTAAATATCCTTCACCATAAATGTGTTTACAATTTTATCAAAAAAAAAAAAAACAAAAAACTACCAGTTCTACAACGAAAAGTACAAGAAAGTCCCCCTTTATAGATCTAAATTCTATGTTTCTAGGTTTAATATTAAAAAAGATTCAAAATGTACCAAAAAAATCACTCTTATAAATTTTTATTACATCAGGATATACATGTATGTCGGATTATATGTTTCTAGATTCAATTATTGCATAAAAACCAAAAGGGGCTAGGTTTAATCGTGGACCGATATTGCCAATTTTAAATTCAAAACTATATATTTATGCAAAATTTCGTCCCGTTTGGACTCTATCGTGTTTTCAACAGACAGACGAACGGACATTGCTATAATATGCCTCCATCTGTTTTGATGGTGGGTGTAAGAAGTACCAAAAATCCTTTTCATATTTATATGTTCTAGTTCAAGTTCTGTTCTAGTTTAGTTCTAGTTCAGTTCTAGTTCAGTTCTAGTTCAGTTCTAGTTCAGTTCTAGTTCAGTTCTAGTTCAGTTCTAGTTCAGTTCTAGTTCAGTTCTAGTTCAGTTCTAGTTCAGTTCTAGTTCAGTTCTAGTTCAGTTCTAGTTCAGTTCTAGTTCAGTTCTAGTTCAGTTCTAGTTCAGTTCTAGTTCAGTTCTAGTTTAGTTCTAGTTCAGTTCTAGTTCAGTTCTAGTTCAGTTCTAGTTCTGTTCTAGTTCAGTTCTAGTTCAGTTCTAGTTCAGTTCTAGTTCAGTTCTAGTTCAGTTCTAGTTCAGTTCTAGTTCAGTTCTAGTTCAGTTCTAGTTCAGTTCTAGTTCTAGTTCAGTTCTAGTTCAGTTCTAGTTCTAGTTCAGTTCTAGTTCAGTTCTAGTTCAGTTCTAGTTCAGTTCTAGTTCAGTTCTAGTTCAGTTCTAGTTCAGTTCTAGTTCAGTTCTAGTTCAGTTCTAGTTCAGTTCTAGTTCAGTTCTAGTTCAGTTCTAGTTCAGTTCTAGTTCAGTTCTAGTTCAGTTCTAGTTCAGTTCTAGTTCAGTTCTAGTTCAGTTCTAGTTCAGTTCTAGTTCAGTTCTAGTTCAGTTCTAGTTCAGTTCTAGTTCAGTTCTAGTTCAGTTCTAGTTCAGTTCTAGTTCAGTTCTAGTTCAGTTCTAGTTCAGTTCTAGTTCAGTTCTAGTTCAGTTCTAGTTCAGTTCTAGTTCAGTTCTAGTTCAGTTCTAGTTCTAGTTCAGTTCTAGTTCTAGTTCAGTTCTAGTTCAGTTCTAGTTCAGTTCTATTCAGTTCTAGTTCAGTTCTAGTTCAGTTCTAGTTCAGTTCAGTTCTAGTTCAGTTCTAGTTCAGTTCTAGTTCAGTTCTAGTTCAGTTCTAGTTCAGTTCTAGTTCAGTTCTAGTTCAGTTCTAGTTCAGTTCTAGTTCAGTTCTAGTTCAGTTCTAGTTCAGTTCTAGTTCAGTTCTAGTTCAGTTCTAGTTCAGTTCTAGTTCAGTTCTAGTTCAGTTCTAGTTCAGTTCTAGTTCAGTTCTAGTTCAGTTCTAGTTCAGTTCTAGTTCAGTTCTAGTTCAGTTCTAGTTCAGTTCTAGTTCAGTTCTAGTTCAGTTCTAGTTCAGTTCTAGTTCAGTTCTAGTTCAGTTCTAGTTCAGTTCTAGTTCAGTTCTAGTTCAGTTCTAGTTCAGTTCTAGTTCAGTTCTAGTTCAGTTCTAGTTCAGTTCTAGTTCAGTTCTAGTTCAGCTCTAGTTCAGTTCTAGTCTATCCCGTTTTCTTGAAACGATGTTTTTTAAGTTATGTCAGTCTTGTAGTAAATGAGAGATAAAAAACTCTTATAACTTAATTTAATTTGACCCACTTCGTCATCCTTCCCACCAAATGACCCATTTCTACTTTTTATTATAAAAAGTCTCCTTTGCAACTTTACATTAATGCAAAACTCTAGCTAATCACCATTTATTATTTTTTATATATAAATGTAAGTATATTAAAACTGTCAAAATGCATACAAAAATATTGACAATTAAATATTTTCAAACGAATGCCAATCACCTTGTTTATTTACTTTATTTAACTCTTTTACGCATCTCATTAATCTCCCACTAACTGCCTCTCACTAAAGTAAACACACATTTAGAACAACAATAATTATGGCAACAACAAAAATACATGCATTAAGCTAATAACAACAACAACGACAGTAATAATCTCTTTCCATTATTTGCATTCCTTTTTAGTTTTTGCAAAATTTCACAAGTGTTCGGTTGATTTACTGATTGGTGTCGTTTAATAATTAAAAAGTCGCGTTAAATAATAAATAAAATTAAAATATTTTTGCATAAATGTGTAATTTAAATGTTTGTTAATAATTGTGTGTAAAAATTTTGGTGAAAAGTGTTGAGTAAATTAGTGAAAAAAGTGTTAGAACTTTGAATAAAATTGCATGCAAATTCGAGTCGTTCGCTGTGTTGCTTTAGTTTGGTCATTCGTTGGCGCAAACAAAAAAAAAATGCAAAAGAAAAGAAAAAAGGAGTAAATAGTAAATTAATAAAAAAAGAGTGTGTATGAGAGTAAAGAAATTCTGCGCTGTTGTTTTTATTAAGTTTATAATTTGTAATAAGAATAATGTAATAGTGATAAAATCAATCAATAATATAAATAGAGATGCCACATATTTTAAAATAAAGAAATGGAAAAAAGCATTAAATTTAAATCAAATATTGAAGAAAAAAATAAATTTTATTTGGCAAATTAAAAATTCAAAAGGAAAAAAAATTAAATCTTAAAGAAAATAGTATTTTGAAGTCTGTATAATAAAAAGGGCCATAAAAGTGATCCATTTAAATTTATTAAAAATATCATTAAATATCAAAATATACCGAAAATGTGAAAATACATATTTTCATTAGATTTTATAACAAACATCAAATTTCCACAAAGACCTATTGCTGCCAACAGGTGAGTCCTTTATTTGATTAAATTTAATTTAGATTCGAATACAATAATACAACTTTACAAGCCCCGGAAATCTCTGATCTAAAGAAAAATAATAAATTTTGGCGCTTTAGATTTAGTTTTGAAAAATTTTATTATTTTCGATTTGTGATCAAATTGAAAAATGTTGTGAACAGATTTTCAAAAATTTAATTTTAAATAAAAAATCGAAAATCAAATGTTATTCCTTTAACAAGTAGGAAAGAATATTGGGGCATGGCCGACTATATGATATATTTTAAAAATTATTTATTTTTAATAAAGAAACTTTTATGTTGAGATTCACTTTAATTCCGATGTATTTAAGCAATTTATTGATGAAAAACAAAATTTCTAAAAGAGATTTTATATGGTATTTAGGGTTAAAATATGGGCCGATCCTCAACAAATTTGGAGGAGGAATGTGTTTTTATATAAAGGTTAGTCATGTTGAGTTTCATCGCTATACTAAAGTTATAAGTCAATTTTTGGACTTTTAAGTTATTTTTAAGAGGGGGGTTTGTATGGGGGCTAGGGTCAAACGATGCATAGATAAAACTTAATTGTGCCAATTTTTGGAGAGATAGTAGTATATTTGACGTAGTTATGAGTTAAAAATCCTAAATCGGAAGGTCAGGTTGTATGGGGGCTAGGTAAAATAATGGACTGATTTCAACCATTTCAATAGACATCGTCTTAGTCCGAAAAACACATATGATCCAAATTTTATCAACATATCTTGAAAATTGTGGCCTGTAGCTTGCGCATAAGGTTTACATGGACAGCCAGTCGGACAGACGGACGGACATGTCTTAATCGACTCAGTAAGTGATTCTGACTCGATCGGCATACTTTAAGGTAGGACCAATATTTTTGTGCGTTACAAACATCAGCATAAACGTATAATAGCCTCCCAACTTTAGTAGTGTAGGGTATAAAAAGCATCTAACTGAGAAAAAAAGCTAAACTCTGCGACAACTACAATCTTTCATCAAAAGCCGATTTTTATACAAAAATTTAAAATTAACTATAGTTCCTTTAAAATGTAAATAGGTATATAGATAGATAGATAGATAGATAGATAGATAGATAGATAGATAGATAGATAGATAGATAGATAGATAGATAGATAGATAGATAGATAGATAGATAGATAGATAGATAGATAGATAGATAGATAGATAGATAGATAGATAGATAGATAGATAGATAGATAGATAGATAGATAGATAGATAGATAGATAGATAGATAGATAGATAGATAGATAGATAGATAGATAGATAGATAGATAGATAGATAGATAGATAGATAGATAGATAGATAGATAGATAGATAGATAGATAGATAGATAGATAGATAGATAGATAGATAGATAGATAGATAGATAGATAGATAGATAGATAAGAATTGAATACCAAAGATTCTGCTGGATTCCTTTTAAAATAAAAGTCTTCTATATTTAATTTTTATTATTTTTTGTGTTGATTATCAACATTTATTGTAATATTGGTTTTATTTTTACATACATAATATTTTTTTCTTATTTATTTATATTTTTATTTATGATTTTCTTTTGTTAATAATTTGTTTACTGTTTTAACTAAGTATTTTTTCTTTTGCCTTTTAGTTTTGGTTTTTGAAGGGATTTTTTTAATTTCAGATAAAGTCATATCATTAGTTTTGTGTCTAGAGGTTTTGTGTTTCTACAATTTTTGTTTTTGTTAATATTTTCTTTTTTTGTTCTATACAAATTTGTATTAATTTTGAAAAAACAAAATTAAAAGTTTCTCATTATCATACCGTGTCTCTAATTTCTCTGTTTTAAAGTTTTCTTTTGCTAAGGACTTCAATAAAGTCATTTTTAGATTCTTTTTCGAACATTTTGTAACATTTACACATTTATTTTCTTTGTTATTTTTGTTTAATGGTGTTTTCGTTTCTATATTTTTTGTATTATTTTTAATAGTACTTAACACCTGCAAAACATTTTCATAGATTTAAATTTAATTTTGTTTTTAACTATTGTTTTTTTTTATGTTTTAAGTCATGTGTTATTCGTTAGATTTGTTTATTTTATTTAATATTTATTTGTATTTTTTTATACATATTTACAGTTGTTTGTTTTAATTATTGTTGTTTTCTGCTTTTAAATCTGATGGATATTGTCTAGGTTTTTCTCGGTTTCATATTTTGGATGTGGTTTGTATTTTATGTATGGTTAGAGTTATTTATATATTTTTTTCTTTATTATTGGAAAAATACTGTGAGATTTTTTTTTTTGGAAATTTTAAAATATTTTGGAATATTTTTTAAATATTCTAAAATTTTGAACTTTTTAAAAACTTTTGGAAATTAACTTAAGGTTTAACTGAGTTATGAATTAGATAAATTTTCTTCAAAATTTCAATTTAGCAGCTGAATATAAAAATTCTTTAGCTGAATATAAAAATTCTTTAGCTGAATAGCAAAGACATAACTAAAATAACCATAATGCATTAGAAAACAACATAAACCATCTTAAAATCTCTGCTGAATTGCATTTCAAGCTGGTCGAATAAGTTATTCTGTTTAAAAAAGGCTTTCATTTGAATGAGTTATTCAAAAATGTTTAAAATTGTTTAGCTGAATTGATTTAGTTTGCTTAATTTGTAAGCAATTTCATAAAATTTTAAACAAACATCAAAAATATTTTGCTGAGTTATCTTTAATTTTAGCTGAATAAGAGTTTAGGGCAATTTTTTTTAAATTTTTATTTAATTCTTATTATTGAAGCTGAATAGCAAAATTATCATCCATAATAATGTTAATGTCATGAGAATCACCTTAAAACTCCTTTAAATTTTAGCTGAATTGCATTTTAAGTTTGCTGAATAAGGATTTTTGTAATTTTTCTTTAAAATTTCTTTTAATTAATAATTAAGAAACAAATTTCTCTGCTTCAGTATAAAAATTATTTAGCTGAATGAACAATATAAACAATATTTTAACAATTGTCTGGAAATCGACCTAAAATAATAACTCTTAGCTGAATTACATCTTAAGCCGGCTGAATAAGGATTTTTGTTTAAAAATTTATAATTTTTTTTTAAATTTTAAATTAAATTTTATAATTTTTTTTTAGCTGAATTTTTAGGCATTTTGAAATTTTTATAAAACTTAAGCTTAATTTATCTTGTTTTGTAGCTGAATTTAGATATACTTTAGATAAATAGCAAAATAACAACCAAAATAATCAAATTTCAGTGGAATTTAACTAAAAATCTTTGCTGTATTCGAAAATATTCAGCTGAATTATACAAATATTAATGTATATGTATACATCATTTTGCATTCTTTTAAATATTAAAAAAAACGTTAGCTGAATAGCTTTTCTAGCTAGCTGAATTTGCTTATTTGAATTTTTTGTTAATAATTTTCTTAAAGAACTAAGTAAAACATTTCATTCTTAAACGAAAAACCTTAGCTGAATTGTTTTAATGCTTTGCTAAATTAGAAAATTTCATGCTGAAAAAGAAGTAGATGTTTGCATTAGAAAAATCCTAGCTGAATTTCAAATTTTTTAACTGAATAACATTATTATACCCGAGAGAATATAATTTTCCATATAATTATCTTTAATAAGCAAAAACTTTTAGCTGAATTATAAAATTTTCAGCTGAATTTGAAAAACACATAAGAAATAACTATATAAGGCAGTATTTAAGCAAAACCTTTAGCTGAATTACTTTAGTGACTAGCTGATTGGGTAAAATCCTAGCTGTATGGTAAAAATGCTAGAAGAAGTAAGTAAAACATTTCATACCTAAGCGAAAAACCTTAGCTGAATTGTGTTAATGCTTTGCTAAATTAGAAAATTTTAAGTTGAAAAAGAAAAGAATGTCTGCATTATAAAAGTCCTAGCTGAATTTCAAATTATTTAGCTAAATAAGATTATTATACCCGAAATAATATAATTTTCCTTATAATTATATTGAATAAGCAAAAACTTTAGCTGAATTATAAAATTTTCAGCTGAATTTAAAAAAATACATAAGAAATAACTATATAGGGCAGTATTTAAGGAAAAACCTTTAGCTGAATTACTTTAGTGACTTGCTGATTGGGTAAAATCCTAGCTGAATGTTCAAAATACTAGAAGAACTAAATAAAACATTTAATACTTAAGCGAAAAACCTTAGCTGAATTGTTTAAATGCTTTGCTAAATTAGAAATTTTCTATCTAAAAAAGAAAAGAAAACTGTTAGCTGAATTTCAAATTATTTAGCTGAATAACATTATTATACCCGAGAGAATATAATTTTCCATATAATTATCTTTAATAAGCAAAAACTTTTAGCTGAATTATAAAATTTTCAGCTGAATTTAAAAAATACATAAGAAATAACTATATAAGGCAGTATTTAAGCAAAAACCTTTAGCTGAATTGCTTTAGTGACTAGATGATTGGGTAAAATCCTAGCTGAATGGTAAAAATGCTAGAAGAAGTAAGTAAAACATTAGCTGAATTGCTTTAATAATGATATTAAATCATTTTTAACTCCGCTATGAACTTATTTACGGTAATTTTATGTTCAGGAAGTTTTGTTAACTGAGTTTAATATTTGATTATTTTTTAATATTTTAACAATAATTTTAAATTTATATGTTTTCATAAATACTATTTTCAATTAATTTTTCCTTTTTGGGGCTTGGGCATTACATACTATATATGGCACATTTAGAAGTACGTAGAGTTGTTTTTTTTTTTCAAATTTGTTTTTATATTTTTGTTAAAGAGAATTTTACATATTTGACACAAAACTTTAGTTAGATTTTAATTTGTTATATAATTTGTTTAATAATTTACTTAATAGTTTAAATCTTTTTTTTTTACTTAGTAACTATTAAATGCATAATTTTGCACATGTTTTTATGTAGATAATATCATACAATAGTTAAAACTAAACTTAATATTTTATATATATAAAACTAACTAAACGAAAAAGGGAATAAATGTTGCTAAAAAACCATTTATACAGAATTTAAATTAAAATATTTAAATTATTACAATAAATTATGTTTTTCTACTACTTTATGCTTATAAAGTAGTTTTTGTTAAATTTATAATATTTGGCAAATTTTTGTTTTAAATATTTACTAAAAGTTATTTAATTAATACATTACAATTATTTTTTTTTATAAATAAATATTAACTAAATATTTTAGTTATTATTTTATTTACTATAAATTATTTGTTTATTTTACTTAATTTTAATTTATTTATATATATTTTTTGTTATAATAACATATTCATTGTATAACATTACATATTTCTTTGTAGTATTTTATTTAAATATTTTATATTTGTTATAATTAAATTTATATTTCTGTTGTTGTTTAATAAGTCTTTTTGAAAGTCAGTGTTTTCGTTTTATAAAATATACAATAAATGCAACAAATTGAAATCAGTCATTTTGTTTTTGTTTTTTTAAAGTTTGAAATAATTTTTAAATTTCAACTAAAAAACTTATAAACAAAAGTTTATTAAATTATGTTAATTAATAAAATAAGCTGATTTAATTAATAACCCAATTTGCACAAACTTTTCGTAGTTGTGCAATTTTTGACATTTCACTTGCGTGTTTTCGCAATTGTGTTTACGCGAAATGAAGTTAATTTGAAAACCCAAAAATTTTTAAATTAGAAACAAATTATTTGACTGCCTTTTTGCAAAACTAATAAAGAGAGACTTCTATAGACACTTGCCTATAGAAGAGAGTCTTCTATAGACACTTTTCTAGAGAACAGTGTCTTCTATAGACACTTGTCTATAGGAGAGTGTCTTCTATAGACACTTGTCTATAGGAGAGTGTCTTCTATAGATATTTGTCTGACCGTGTCCATAGATGAGTAGATGTAGACACTTGTCTATAGAAGAGTTTGTTTCGTCTTTAAAAGAGTGTGTTCTGTAGATATTTGTCTATGGAAGATTGTTTTCTTTAGACACTTGTGCATAGAATAGAGTCTTCTTGAGACACTTGCCTATAGAAGAGTGTCACCTTCAGACACTTGTGTATAGAATGGTGTTTTCTTTAGACACGTGTGTATAGAAGAGTGACCTTTTAGAAACTTGTCTATAGAAGAGTGTCTTCTATATACAATTGTCTTTAGAAGAATATCCTTTATAGACACTTGTCTCTAGAAGAGTGTCCTCTGTAGACACTAGTCTATAGAAGAGTGTCTTTTAAAGACACTGGCCTATAGAAGATTGTCTTTCACAGACGCTTGTCTATAGAAGATACTCTTTTATAGACGAGCGTCTATAATTGACACTCTTCTATTGAAGAATATCCTCTATAGACACTTGCCTATAGAATAGTTTCTTTTATAGACACTTGTCTCTAGAAGAGTGTCCTCTGTAGACTCTTGTCTATAGAAGAATAGCCTCTATAGGCACTTGTCTATAGAAGAGTTTCTTTTATAGACACTTGTCTATAGAAGAGTGTCTTTTATAGACACTTGTCTATAGAATAGTGTCATTTATAGACACTTGTCTATAGAAATGTGTCTTTTATAGACACTTGTCTATAGAAGAGTGTATTTTATAGACACTGGCCTATAGAAGAGTGTCTCCTATAGACGCTTGGCTATAGAAGAGTGTCTCCTATAGACGCTTGTCTATAGAAAAGTGTTTTCTATAGACACTTGTGTATAGAAGAGTGTCTTCTATAGACGCTTGTCTATAGAAGAGTGTCTTCTATAGACGCTTGTCTATAGAAGAGTGTCTTCTATAAACGCTTGTCTATAGAAGAGTGTCTTCTGTAGACGCTTGTCTATAGAAGAGTGTCTTCTGTAGACGCTTGTCTATAGAAGAGTTTCTTCTTTAGACGCTTGTCTATAGAAGAGTTTCTTCTTTAGACGCTTGTCTATAGAAGAGTGTCTCCTATAGACACTTGTCTATAGAATATACTCTTTTAGAGACAAGCGTCTATACACTCTTCTATAGAATAATCTCCTCTTTAGACACTTGTCTATAGAAGAGTGTATTTTATAGACACTAGCCTATAGAAGAGTGTCTCCTATAGACACTGGCCTATAGAAAAGTGTCTCCTATAGACGCTTATCGATAGAAGAGTGTCTTCTATAGGATATTGTCTGTAGAAGAATGTCTTATATAGACACTTACTGTAGACACTTGTCTATAGAAGACCGTGCTCCGTAGACACTTGTCTATAGAAGAGTTTCTTCCGAGGACAACTGTCTATAGAAGAGTGATTTCTGTAGACAATTGTCTCTAGAAGAGTGTCCTCTGTAGACTCTTGTCTATAGAAGAATATCATATATAAAAACTTTTCTATAGAAGAATGTCTTTTTTAGACACTTGTCTATAGAAGAGTGTCCTCTTTAGACGCTCGTCTATAGAAGAGTTTCTCTTTCCTTTAGAAGAGTGTTTTCTATAGAGACTTTTCTATAGAAGAGTGCCTTCTAGAGACATTTTCTATAGAAGAGTGTCTTCTATAGACACTTGTCTATAGAAGACTCGTGTCTATAGAAGAGTGTATTCTATAGAAAATTATAGAAACTTGAATATATATTCCAGACTATATATTGATCTATTGTGCCGACAAATGATTGTTCTATATCCCAGACTGCAGTTTTTTTCTATAGTCTACATAATGGATAGATTTATAGTTCGCACTATGCATGGATCTATACTTAAGATTGATATATATAGTCCAGACTATAAATTTATCTATAGTTCCAAACGGGCTGTTTGTTATAGATTTTTTGCTGTTGTCTTATTTTAAATGCTTTCGATTTCTTATAGAACCCTTAAGATCAGCATTTAGTTCGGAAAATTTCTTAGTTTTTTCCAGTTAATTTCTATATACAAAACATTTTAAATCTAAATTGTTTAACATTTTTTTTTTTCGTTTTCTTTATGTTCTAGAATTTACAAAATGTTTAACTGAATTATAGTTTTTGTAGGGGTAATTTATCTGGTTCATTCTTTAAGTCCTAAACATTTATTTGAAATGTTTCTCTTTGTAATTTGGAATTGGCACGTATGCGTGGCGAAGTTTGGGCTTTTGATTTTTCATCGGAAAAACGAGCGGGAGGATTTATGTGATCTTGATAGTTGGGTGGAAAGTTGGCAATGCTGGAATTTGAAAACAATTTATCTAAATTATTTAAATATTTAAAATATTTCTTAAATTGTTAAACCATTTCTACCTAAATGTAGTTTCATCATGATTACTCGAGTAACCACTCGATGAACGTATGTGTCTTTTGCTGGTAGTGCCAGTTTTAGCTGTTTTACGATTACTATAAGGTGGTTTAGATTTGCGTGACATGCTAGTGGGTGTGGCATCCGAAGAAGAAGATGATTCATCTTGGGTCTCTATAGAAAGCGTAAAATTTCATTAATTGTTTTTAAAATATCTGTTTAAGTTTCTTATAAAATGCCTACCTCTTTGTGGTCTATATTTAGCCGAGTTCATAGCTCGTGCAGATACATCATTATCCGATTCAGAGCCGAGTGTGTCATATTCTGTAATTGGTATGTGAAGTGTTAGGATTTTCCTAACTTCAGAATCTGTTGAGCCTGGATTATCCGATTCTAAAACAGTTTATAGTACGATTTGATGATGGATTTTGATTTGATTGATTTTGATACGTGGTGTTGATGATGGGATATTGATGATTGTGATGATGATGATGTTTGGATGAAAACACAAATGAAAATGTTTTAATAAAAAATCTTTGATTTTGTTCGTAAATTATAAATAATATTTAGTAGAAGGATTGAAAAAGGTTACGGTTTAGACAAATAAAACACAAAGTATTACAAAGTGTTTAAATTATAGTTATGACTCTGAATGAATTAATGTCATAAGCCAATTTTTAAGTTTGTTGGTGGTGGTCATTCAATTAAAGGAATGTCATGCTAGCAAATTTATATTTCTTTCTTTTATTTATCTTTTCTTTTTTGGCCTCAATCTCTAACTACTTATAATACTAAAGGAATATTTTGCTGGGATATATAGTATGTCGTTTATGAACCTACCTTGACTTTCTGAATGAGGATCCCTTAAACGGCCCACCTTTCGCCGCACTTTAGTATATTCAGGTTCTTTGGACTAAAAAAGTAATGATAAAATAAATTAAAAACTATTAAAGGTTAACGTATTATTTAACTTACATGATAACTTTCCGGTTTTACATCATGATATACAAATGATCCTCTTACCGAATGATAGGGACCACTGTATACATTACCACTGTAAGAACTTTCACTGTAGGGTTGTTTATTTAGTTGAAAGGTGGCATAGGGACATATATCCTCTATGTATTCATTACTTTCTGCTTTCCCAAAGCTTCCCGAATCATTGGAATTGGACCCTCTTGGTGGTCCTACATTTGGATTACATCTTACTGCCAGATATTGTTGATCACGATTTTGTTTATTTTGCAGCTGGGTAAGTGAAGGTGTTTCCGACATGGACGAGGAGGCCAAACGTGATTGATTGTTACTCATTTCTGAAAGGAAAGTGGACAAAAATATTTTAACTTAAAAAGATAGGTGTTTAGATATAAAGTTCCATTTTCGAGATATTCTGAACCAAAATATAGCATCTCGAACAATATTCAGAACAATGTGTAGAACTGTAATTTGGACTGTAGTCAGTACTATAGTCTCGTTCTTAGTCGTATATATATAGTTTGAACAATAGCATGGACCAAAGTTCTGTGTAAAGTCTAGACTACACTAATACATATTTCTGTCTATAGTCAGGACTACAATCCTGACTATAATTTAGACTACAGTCTGGTCAACAGTCTGGACTATAGTCGTATCTATAGAGCCATTACAATTAAGTTTGTATTATAGTCAGGACTGCAGTCTGTATTATATTCTGGAATTTAGTTTGAACAATAGTCTCGTATATAATAAGGAGTAGAGTCCGCTTTATAATCTGGACTATAATCACTTAGTATAATATAAAGTCTGTATTCTGATCTATAATCTGAAATATAGTCCGGACTATGGTATCATCTATAGTCTGTTCTGTAACGTGGATTATATTCCGGACTATAGTCTGATCTATGGTCTAGACTTTATTGTGGACTATAGTTTAGTCTATAGTCATTACTATATTCTGGTCTATAATCTGGCTTATAGTCTGCTTTATAATCTGAACTAAAAAAGTTTCGTCTATATTCTGAAGTATAGTCTGTGCTACATATGTATGTATATTCTGGAATACAGTGTGACCGATAGTCCGGAATATAGTCTGGACTATGGTATCATCTATAGTCTGATCTACAACAATTAGTCTAGTCTGGTCTATAATCTAGACTTAATTCTGGACTATATTATAGTATATGGTCTCACCTATAATCATTACTATAATCTGGATTGTAATCTGGACTATTTTCTAGTCTATATTCCAAACTATAGCCCAGGTTATATCCTAGAATAGAGATTGACCTATAGTCACATCTATATATACATTGGTGAATACATTCTGGGCTATAGTTTGGACTATATTCTAGACGATAGTGTCGCCTGTGGTACGTAATATATGTATATGGCCTTGTATGTTGTTTGGAATAGAGTCGAGAGTTTTGGACTATACTCTATAGTCTAGGCTTTATATATACAACAGCCAACTTTGGCTCTTTGGTTTTTCGGTTCTATTTAGGATTATTTGTACTTACTCTTTCTTCTTATAACAAATACAGCCCCTAATAGGCCAAGTAACATGATTAACGACAAACACACCGGCAGTAATACTTTGATATTGGCATAGAAGGGGCTATCGGTCATGGGAGACATAGCATTCGAATCGGTATTATAAATAACTGAAAATAAAGTTAAGAGTTAAAATAAAGTTTTCTTAAGAATTCGAAGATCCTACTCACCTCCCTGGGGTGATAAAGTAGTAAAATTATATACCGCTGTTGTAGAGCCGGCATTATTGTGCGCTGTTACTCTAAGTTGATACTTAGTACCAGGTACTAAATCACTAACCGTATATATACGTTCTGTCGGTGGTATATGACTCGAGACAACAGTCCAAGTTGATCTAATGAAACAGTTTTAAAATAAAATTTTTAACACTTTTCCAGTTTGTTTAAACTCACCGTCCATAGATTCTCGATTCAATCATAAAATATAAAATACCACAACCACCATCACCCCATGAATCCAGCCAACAGGTAACACTAGTAGAATTATTCGTAATCATTTGGGAATGTTTAGGCTGTACGGGAGGATTACCCTTCGTATGGGTATTGACAATGTCACAAGGTAAACCGGTGCCAATTTTATTATAGGCCGTTATATACAATTGATAGCGTGTGCCACACCAAAGATTACTCAATAAATGTGAATAGGACTTAGCATCGACTTGTAATTCTTCCCAATCACCATTATCGCGTTTATAGTTAATGACATAGCCCAATATAGGACTACCGCCATTATTGTTATCAGACCATTCTAATAGCAAACTATCCGAGTAGGCGGTGACTACGGTAAGATTAGGAGCTTCTGGTGGCACTTTGACCACAACACTGTAAATAATTTCATCTTTACCCCAGGTATTCTCTACACTGCAAGTATAATTGCCCGCATCAGTGGCCTGAGTTTCACGTATGTAGAGTGTGCCATTTTTGGCAATAGTTTTGCGGGCATTTGTTTCTAGATTATGGCCATCTAAACGCCATATTGTTACCGGAGCCGGAGAGCCCACTTTACGACATGTTAACTCTAAGTTTTCTTTCCAAGGTGTTATGACCCTCTGGCTAAATGACACAATACGAGCAGGTACTTTATTATTTGGTGGCACTGTAACGACATCCGTTTTTTCACCCTCCCCCACTTTAGTAGAGGCGGTTAGCCAAAATTGATAAGTGGCCGATTCCTGGGTGCGTTGTGTCTCATGCATTTCCACATACGGACCCAGAATACGTTTATGAGTACCCTCTTCTCTACCACCCTCCAGCATGGACATGTAAAAAGTGTAACCGGTCTGAAATTTAAAAAAAAATCCCTTTAAGCTACAACTAAATTTATATTTCAATTTAATACTTACTATATCACCATTTGGATATTCAGGCGGCAACCAGGATATGATAATTTTTGTACTTGAAGCTGGTATCGCTTTAATAGCATGTGGTGCTGAGGGTACTACAATGATTAGACAACATGCAACAAACATTAATTGTTAATTATCTATTTGCAAAGTATGTATGTGTGTGTGTGTGTGGTAAACTTACCATCCTCATTTGTTCGACAATAGAATGGTTTGGTTTTAACACCATCTCCCACTTTCGTATAGGCCACCACCCATACCGTATAGTTGGTGTACTTGTTTAGATTTTCAATAGTAGCATACTGATTATTGGATTTCACAACCTCAGGATCTTTTTCTGCAAATAATAATGAAATGAAAATTGATTAAAAATTACTTAAGTTAAATTGAAAATAACAGAAGATTTAAGACTTTAAAGACAAAATCTGTAAACCTAATTAAAACTTATTTATATCGAAGTATTATCCAGTCTACAGTTTACTAAGTGGACTATAGTCGTATATATTGTTTATAAATAGTGTGGACTATAGTCAGGTATCTGTTCGTTAGTCTGAACTTTGTTCTGCTCTGTAGTTTCGACTACAGTCTAGCCTTTAGTCTAGTCTATAGTCTAGTCTATAGTCTAGTCTATAGTCTAGTCTATAGTCTAGTCTATAGTCTAGTCTATAGTCTAGTCTATAGTCTAGTCTATAGTCTAGTCTACAGTCTAGTCTATAGTCTAGTCTATAGTCTAGTCTATAGTCTAGTCTATAGTCTAGTCTATAGTCTAGTCTATAGTCTAGTCTATAGTCTAGTCTATAGTCTAGTCTATAGTCTAGTCTATAGTCTAGTCTATAGTCTAGTCTATAGTCTAGTCTAGTCTATAGTCTAGTCTATAGTCTAGTCTATAGTCTGTCTATAGTCTAGTCTATAGTCTAGTCTATAGTCTAGTCTATAGTCTAGTCTATAGTCTAGTCTATAGTCTAGTCTATAGTCTAGTCTATAGTTAGTCTATAGTCTAGTCTATAGTCTAGTCTATAGTCTAGTCTATAGTCTAGTCTATAGTCTAGTCTATAGTCTAGTCTATAGTCTAGTCTATAGTCTAGTCTATAGTCTAGTCTATAGTCTAGTCTATAGTCTAGTCTATAGTCCTAGTCTATAGTCTAGTCTATAGTCTAGTCTATTAGTCTAGTCTATAGTCTAGTCTATAGTCTAGTCTATAGTCTAGTCTATAGTCTAGTCTATAGTCTAGTCTATAGTCTAGCTCTATAGTCTCTAAGTCTAGTCTATAGTCTAGTCTATAGTCTAGTCTATAGTCTAGTCTATAGTCTAGTCTATAGTCTAGTCTATAGTCTAGTCTATAGTCTAGTCTATAGTCTAGTCTATAGTCTAGTCTATAGTCTAGTCTATAGTCTAGTCTATAGTCTAGTCTATAGTCTAGTCTATAGTCTAGTCTATAGTCTAGTCTATAGTCTAGTCTATAGTCTAGTCTATAGTCTAGTCTATAGTCTAGTCTATAGTCTAGTCTATAGTCTAGTCTATAGTTTAGTCTATAGTCTAGTCTATAGTCTAGTCTATAGTCTAGTCTATAGTTTAGTCTATAGTCTAGTCTATAGTCTAGTCTAGTCTATAGTCTAGTCTATAGTCTAGTCTATAGTCTAGTCTAGTCTATAGTCTAGTCTATAGTCTAGTCTATAGTCTAGTCTATAGTCTAGTCTATAGTCTAGTCTATAGTCTAGTCTAGTCTATAGTCTGGTCTATAGTCTAGTCTATAGTCTAGTCTATAGTCTAGTCTATAGTCTAGTCTTTAGTCTAGTCTATAGTCTAGTCTTTAGTCTAGCCTATAGTCTAGTCTATAGTCTAGTCTATAGTCTAGTCTATAGTCTAGTCTATAGTCTAGTCTATATTCTAGTCTATAGTCTAGTCTGTAGTCTAGTCTATAGTCTAGTCAATAGTCTAGTCTGGTCTATAGTTTGGACTATAGTTAGGTCTTCGGTCAGGACAATTGTCTGGTCTATAGCATGTTCTGTTGTCTTCATGATAGATTGTTCTATTGTCTGGTATGTAGTCTAGACTATAGTCTGCTTTACAGTCTGGAATATAGTCTGCACTGCAGTCTGGTCTATAATCTGTTTTACAATCTGGAATTTAAATCATTCTGATCTTAAGTCAGGATTATATACTGATTTATAGCCTGGCCTAGAGTCTGGTTTACATACTATATAGTCCGATCTAGAGTCTAGATTATATTCTGCTCTATAGTCTGGACTATAATCTGGTCTATAATCTGGAATATAGTCTGATCTATAGTCTGGTTATATAATCAGGTGTATAGTTAGTCTGGATTATAGTTTGGTCTATAATTTGTTCTACAGCCCGATCTTGTTTGTAGTCTGGTTTATAGTCTGAACTATAGTCTGTTATATCTCATTTATATTTGTTTATAAAATTCTTAAATTTTATCCTTTAACTCTGTCTGTTATTTGTATGTTTGCTCAGCACATATAGTTGCACAGGTTCAATAAATATTGAGGCGTTAAAAATTTAATGACTTGAATAATTGCCTCTTGGTAAAAGATAAATGAAAACAGGTTTCATATAATAGAGGACATGTACGTACTGAGACCGTTTACATATTTAAAGTGATGTATGTAGACATTAAATGGAGAAAACTTATCCTAACCAACAGTCGCATGTGCCAATTGTAATTTAAAATATAAACATTGATTCATGGGTAAATGTAGAAAGAATGATTTTAGGTATGAGTAAGTACGTGGGTATATAAATTGATAAGTTAATGGCAAATATACAAAGAAGAGAATTTTTTTCAATATTAAATTTGAATACTTTTCGATTTTTTGAAAGATTTGAATGATTTTATGAAATCCTTAGTTAGGATTTTGCGAATATTGCAAATTATTGAAATTTCTTTTAGTAACTTAACAATTGACCCACCTTCGTCATACGCAATAAGTAAGAGTTTGAGTAAATTTGTTGTCATTAAACAAGTGCAGGCGAATGTATCAAAAGTGTTTAACAGATACTGTATAGAATTTTATTGCAAATGATTTTATGTAAATTTTGTTAGAATACAGCAACACAGTAAATGGAAAAGGGTGAAGTAAGTAGTAATGTTTGATTGGGTATTTGTATGTACATGATATAAATACGTTGAAATACTTAGGTATACAAATATAAATGTGTTTATTTAATCGCACTTACCATACAAGTCTTCTGTTGATATGTAAAATATTTTATAGCCTTTAATTTTACCATTTTGTCCATCAATATCGGGTGGTGACCATGTTATATAAATGGATGTTGAACCTAAAACATCACATTGTGGACTTTCAGGTGGTGAAGATGGCACTTGAAAAAAAGAAAAGAAAAACAAATAAAAATGGTGTGAAATGCAGATAACACTTTTACATTCAAACATAAAACAAAATGTTGTGAATGATTTATGGGTGGATGTGTGTCGGTGTTTTTTTAACACTTACCATCTTCTAATGTTTGTACAGCAATTTCCTTACTAGGTGGCCCACTACCCTGACTCGTATAGGCCTGCACAATCACATGGTATTCGGTGTATTTATTGAGATTATTTAAAACAGTCTCACCGCCATAGTGTGAACGTACTTCAACGGTTTTGAAACTAAAACCCAGTGTGGGATTGATTTCCATATCCTCGGGCGTTAAAGACATTTGATAGCCCACGTAGTAGCCCAACAGTATGCCATTCCAGTGGTCACGGTCTGGTGCATCCCAGGAAACAGCAATCTCCGTTGAACTTTTTGCTTCCGCTCTCACATTGAGGGGTGGTGCGGAGGGTACTTCCTCTAGTGTGGTGACCTGTACAACTTCAGAGAATTCCGATGAACCCAATTTATTTTCAGCTGACATACGTATATGATATGCTTTGGCAGGTTTCAAGTTGGCTATGTTGACAACTGTCTGTGAACCGGTGATGGTTATGTGTTCGGCATTTTGCCAAATATCTAAAGAAAAGCACAAATATATTTACATATGAATGAATAACTATATATGTTTTTATTTTTAAGTAATAAAACTCTTGTATGTAGTTTGTTAATTAAAAGTGCAATAGTAATTTATTAAGATTATTCTTGTCAAAATCCAGACACTATATTTGGTTCATTTTAATAATTGTGTTAAGTTTTTAATTAATCTGCTTTTTTTCTATCATATTTTGCCTTAATCCTTAAAGATTTATTACATATTTGTGCTTAATTACAATTGTTAAATACATGTAGTCTGATATTCATAGGCACTTGCAGGATCTTGTTTATTCAGTCAGACGAATGAGATAAACAAAGTATTTTTATTGTTTATCTTAAGGATTATTTACAATATTTACATGTTTGTGCAAGCATAATTTCTAATTAATTTCGAAGAAGTAATAAGAAATCCTATATGGAATGGAGAGTTTGTTGAAAATTCTTTAAAAACAAGTAAAGTGTGAAAAGTTAAAAACAAATAATTTTGTTTTGTTTTTTATAGGGATAATCTATCGTATATCACGATTACAATTTTGACAGTAAACACGAAAATAGACTAATATAATCTAGTCTATTTTCTTATCTATATCATAGTCTATTGTCCAATCTATAGTCTAGTCTAGTCTATAGTCTAGTCTTTAGTCTAGTCTATAGTCTAGTCTTTAGTCTAGTCTTAGTCTAGTCTATAGTCTAGTCTATAGTCTAGTCTATAGTCTAGTCTAGTCTATAGTCTAGTCTATAGTCTAGTCTATAGTCTAGTCTATAGTCTAGTCTATAGTCTAGTCTATAGTCTAGTCTATAGTCTAGTCTATAGTCTAGTCTATAGTCTAGTCCTATAGTCTAGTCTATAGTCTAGTCTATAGTCTAGTCTATAGTCTAGTCTATAGTCTAGTCTATAGTCTAGTCTATAGTCTAGTCTATAGTCTAGTCTATAGTCTAGTCTATAGTCTAGTCTATAGTCTAGTCTATAGTCTAGTCTATAGTCTAGTCTATAGTCTAGTCTATAGTCTAGTCTATAGTCTAGTCTATAGTCTAGTCTATAGTCTAGTCTATAGTCTAGTCTATAGTCTAGTCTATAGTCTAGTATAGTCTAGTCTATAGTCTAGTCTATAGTCTAGTCTATAGTATAGTCTATAGTCTAGTCTATAGTCTAGTCTATAGTCTAGTCTATAGTCTAGTCTATAGTCTAGTCTATAGTCTAGTCTATAGTCTAGTCTATAGTCTAGTCTATAGTCTAGTCTATCTAGTCTAGTCTAGTCTAGTCTAGTCTATAGTCTAGTCTATAGTCTAGTCTATAGTCTAGTCTATAGTCTAGTCTATAGTCCAGTCTATAGTCTAGTCTATAGTCTAGTCTATAGTCTAGTCTATAGTCTAGTCTATAGTCTAGTCTACAGTCTAGTCTATAGTCTAGTCTACAGTCTAGTCTATAGTCTAGTCTATAGTCTAGTCTATAGTCTAGTCTATAGTCTAGTCTATAGTCTAGTCTATAGCCTAGTCTATAGTCTAGTCTATAGTCTAGTCTATAGTCTAGTCTATAGTCTAGTCTATAGTCTAGTCTATAGTCTAGTCTATAGTCTAGTCTATAGTCTAGTCTATAGTCTAGTCTATAGTCTAGTCTATAAGTCTAGTCTATAGTCTAGTCTATAGTCTAGTCCATAGTCTAGTCTATAGTCTAGTCTATAGTCGAGTCTATATTCTAGTCTATAGTCTAGTCTATAGCCTAGTCTATAGCCTAGTCTATAGTCTAGTCTATAGTCTAGTCTATAGTCTAGTCTATAGTCTAGTCTATAGTCTAGTCTATAGTCTAGTCTATAGTCTAGTCTATAGTCTAGTCTATAGTCTAGTCTATAGTCTAGTCTAGTCTAGTCTATAGTCTAGCCTATAGTCTAGTCTATAGTCTAGTCTATAGTCTAGTCTATAGTCTAGTCTATAGTCTAGTCTATAGTCTAGTCTATAGTCTAGTCTATAGTCTAGTCTATAGTCTAGTCTATAGTCTAGTCTATAGTCTAGTCTATAGTCTAGTCTATAGTCTAGTCTATAGTCTAGTCTATAGTCTAGTCTATAGTCTAGTCTATAGTCTAGTCTAGTCTATAGTCTAGTCTATAGTCTAGTCTATAGTCTAGTCTATAGTCTAGTCTAGTCTAGTCTATAGTCTTTTCTATAGTCTAGTCTATAGTCTAGTCTATAGTCTAGTCTAGTCTATAGTCTAGTCTATAGTCTAGTCTATAGTCTAGTCTCTAGTCTAGTCTATAGTCTAGTCTATAGTCTAGTCTATAGTCTAGTCTATAGTCTAGTCTATAGTCTGGTCTATAGTCTAGTCTATAGTCTAGTCTATAGTCTAGTCTATAGGCTAGTGTATAGTCTAGTCTATAGTCTAGTCTATAGTCTAGTCTATAGTCTAGTCTATAGTCTAGTCTATAGTCTAGTCTATAGTCTAGTCTATAGTCTAGTCTATAGTCTAGTCTATAGTCTAGTCTATAGTCTAGTCTATAGTCTAGTATATAGTCTAGTCTATAGTCTAGTCTATAGTCTAGTTAATAGTCTAGTCTACCTGGTCTGCTGATTACGGTAGCTGCCATAATTACTAAGTGAATATTAGTTTTCTAACCCCTTTCTAGTAATGACATTTTTGGTGGATAATATTTGGATATTTTTTTCCTTAATACCTCGAGATCTTTTAAAAACTTCTACCAATTGTATTTTTAAATCCACTAACCTGTTATTTGCTTATAAAATATATGATACTCTTCGATTGGGCTATTGCCAGCAAACGGCTGACTCCAAGTCAATTGTAAACTCCGTGATTGTTGCGAATTGATGCGCAAATTCTTCGGTTGTTCTGGTACTTCCTGTACAATTAATTGTATCGTCATTTCGTCCTGCAATAAATAAATAAGAAAACAGAAACAATAATATCCAAAACAGTAAAGCAAATAAGAAGTACAAAAAGAAAATGTAAACTACATACTTATTAAATAAAAAAAAAAAAACAAGATGAAAAATGAAAGAAACATAAAACTGAATTGAATAATGGAAATGACGACGATAGTGCAGGAGAAGAGAAAAATAATAAAACAAATGAAATAAATTCAAACTGACAGCAGTTGAAAATGATGAAGAAGATGAAGTATTAAGTAAATATTGTATATGAAATGAAATCCTCGTATATCCACTACATATTCGTCGATCGAATAAATATTCGCAACAAGATAAATGTTTAAATAATGATAAATTGCAAAAGATTTACAGTAATTTATAAAACAATTTTTATTTCTTTTTATTTTCATGTTCAATATCTTGAAATCAAAATAAATATTAACTATTGGCAAAAGTAGTTGTTGTATTTATTAAGAGTGAGGTGTGGAAACCATCTACTTGAATTTGCAACATCTGTTGTATTTGTTTTGTACATCATAAAAGTGTTAAATGGAATTGAACTAATTTAAAATTTATAAATATTGAAAGAACGACAGTTGCAAATTGAAGGTCAATTATGATTATTTTTGAAAAAAAAAAATTGACAAGTTTTAGCACGGTTGTAAAGAAAAAAGTAAAAGATTTTTGTAGTAAATAAGCAGAATATTACTGATATTATGAATAGCCTGATAAAATTTATTAAAATATAGACTAGTCTATATACTAGACTATAAACTAGACCATGACTAGAATATAGACTAGACTACAGACTAGACTATAGACTACACTATAGACTAAATTATAGACTAGAATATATACTAGATTATAGACTAGACTATTGACTAGATTATAGACTAGACTATTGACTAGATTATAGACTAGATTACAGACTAGACTATTGGCTAGACTATATACTAGAGTATAGAGTAGACTGTGGACAATAGACTAGGTTATAGACTAGACTATAGAATAGACTATAGACTAGACTATAGACTAGACTGTAGACTAGACCATAGACTAGACTATAGACTAGACTATAGACTAGATTATAGACCAGACTAGACTATAGATTAGACTATAGACTAGACTGTAGACTAGACTATAAACTAGACTATAGACCAGACTATAGACTAGACTATAGACTAGACTATAGACTAGACTATATACTAGACTATAGACTGGACTATAGACTAGACTATAGACTAGACTATAGACTAGACTATAGACTAGACTATATACTAGACTATAGACTAGACCATATACTAGACTATAGACTAGGCTATACTATAGACTAGATTATAGACTAGACTATAGACTAGATTATAGACTAGATTATAGACTAGATTATAGACTAGATTATAGACTAGATTATAGACTAGATTATAGACTAGATTATAGACTAGATTATAGACTAGATTATAGAATAGATTATAGACTAGATTATAGACTAGACTATTGACTAGATTATAGACTAGATTATAGAGTAGACTATTGACTAGACTATATGCTAGAGTATAGACTAGACTGTAGACTGGACAATAGACTAGACTATAGACTAGACTATAAACTAGACTATAGACTAGACTATAAACTAGACTATAGACTAGACTATAGACCAGACTATAGACTAGACTGTAGATTAGACTATAGAATATTCTATAGACTAGACTGTAGACTGGACTATAGACTACACTATAGACTTGGCTTTAGACTAGACTATAGACTAGACTATATACTAGACTATAGACTAGACTATAGTCATTCCTAAAAACATAGTAGATTGTTGGGACTGTATCCTTGGCTATAATAATGGATGTATGGAAAGTTGGTATAAGCAATGTTCTGGACTAAATACTTGCTATTTCCCGAATTAAGCTTGCTATCAGTGATCTTGGATTTTACATGAAAAATTAAACAAAAATTTTATTATTTTTTATAAAATGCAAAAAAATATGTAAATGTTTATTAGATAACTAAATTTATGCAAGATAAACACCAACTAATTTATTCAGTTCAATGCATATTAGTATTTGTACGAGTATAGACAGACATACTGTGGTTATACAAACACTTTTAAAATGAAGAATATATTATAATATAACCCACGTAAAAGTTTTCAACTAAGGTTAAAAATATCAAATTTTTGTCTATAAATTTGTTTTCATAAGATAACCTTTTTGATTTTTCATCTTCAGAAATGTGAAAGTGAAAAAGTGAAGCCACCCTAATGAACACTTGAGAATTCTATAATTTAAATACAAATGTATACATATTCATAAAAACTACAATCTTTACATTAAATTGAGTTGAATAAGTTCTTATCCTAGAACAGTTGTTTTTCTCACACATATATATTTGCTTTTAATAATAGTTCCAAGGACAAAACTAAATGACTATAACAGAAAAATCATTTTTAAAGCAATTTTTCAAAACACATACGAAAAAAAGAATAATTATAGCTGACTTTAGCAACTAGAGAATAAAGAAAAATATACTTTCCAAAGGCATTAAAAATTTGTTTAAACAAATTTTGTAATTTTTGCAATTTTTTTTAATAATAAAATTGATAGTGTATGAGCATTTACATAAAGTACTTGTAAAACTAAATATGTAAGGCAATAATTTCAATAATCTTAAAAAATTTTTTATAATTTTAAAAAATATTATTAAAAAAATGTTTTATGTTTAAATTGACTATATTTTCACTATACATTTATATTTCATTGTCTCTGTATATGTCGTCTATAACCATATTGTTGAAAAACTCACTTTTTAATTAAAGATCTGTTAAAACCACATATAATTTTAAATTGAATTGTAGTAGAGTGTTTTCTTAAATTATGTTTTTATTTTATTCAAATTTAATTTAAAAGTTTAAAATATGTTTGTTTTAACAATTTTATGGTTTTTCTATGAAATTATTTTTATTTGTAGTAAACACGGCGTATGAGTGATAATTAATTGTGAGAGAATTAAATATTAAACATACGTAGTGTAAGAAAATGTTTTTATAGAAAGTTATAGTGCTGCATATTTTCCATACCATTTATGTATTCTGTATAAAATTTGTTATAGAAAATTTTGTGTATAACAGTATTTTCTATAAAAAATTTTGTGTATAACAATGTCTTCTATAGAAAATGTTATGCATTACAATATTTCCAATAGAAAATTTTGTGTATAGCAGTAATTTCTATAAAAAAATTTGTGTATAACAGTATTTTCTTTAGAAAATTTTGTGTGCAACAGTATTTTCTTTAGAAAATTTTGTGCATAACAGTATTTTCTTAAGAAAAAATTTGTATATAACAAAAATAAACAGAAAAATTTGTGTAAAACAGAATTTTCTTTGGAAAATTTTGTGTATAACATTATTTTCTATAGAAAATTTTGTGTATAACAGTATTTTTTACAGAAAAATTGTGTATAACAGTATTTTCTTCAGAAAAATTTGTATATAACAAAAATATAAAATTTTGTGTATAAAAGAATTTTCTTTGGAAAATTTTGTGTGTAATAGTATTTTCTATAGAAAATTTTGTGTATGACAGTATTTTCTGTAGAAAAATTTGTGTATAGCAGTAATTTTTATAGAAAATTTTGTGTATAACAGTATTATCTATAGAAAATTTTGTGTATAACAATATTTTCTATAGAAAATGTTGTGTATAACAGTATTTTCTATAGAAAATGTTGTGTATAACAGTATTTTTTATAGCTAATTATGTGTATACCAGTATTTTCTATATAAAATTTTGTGTATAACAGTATTTTCTATAGAAAATTTTGTGTATAACAGTATTTTCTATAGAAAATTTTGTTTATAACAGTATTTTCTATAGAAAATTTTGTTTATAACAGTATTTTCTATAGAAAATTTTGTTTATAACAATATTTTCTATAGAAAATTTTGTTTATAACAATATTTTCTATAGAAAATTTTGTGTATAACAGTATTTTCTGTAGAAAATTTTGTGTATAACAGTATTTTCTATAGAAAATTTTGTGTATAACAGTATTTTCTTTTGAAAATTTTGTGTATAACAGTATTTTCTTTTGAAAATTTTGTGTATAACAGTATTTTCTATAGAAAATTTTGTGTATAACAGTATTTTCATTTGAAAATTTTGTGTATAACAGTATTTTCTTTAACAATTTTTGTGTATAACAGTATTTTCTATAGAAAATTTTGTGTATAACAGTATTGTCTATAGAAAATTTTGTGTATAACAATATTTTCTATAGAAAATTTTGTGTGCAACAGTATTTTCTATAGAAAATTTTGTGTATAACGTATTTTCTTTTGAAAATTTTGTGTATAACAGTATTTTCTTTAAAAAATTTTGTGTATAACAGTTTCTGTATAACAGTATTTTCTATAGAAAATTTTGTGTATAACAGTATTTTCTTTTGAAAATTTTGTGTGCAACAATATTTTCTATAAAACATTTTGTGTATAACAGTATTTTCTATAAAAAATTTTGTGTGCAACAGTATTTTCTATAGAAAATTTTGTGTATAACAGTATTTTCTATAGAAAATTTTGTGTATAACAGTATTTTCTTTTGACAATTTTGTGTATAACAGTATTTTCTTTTGAAAATTTTGTGTATAACAGTATTTTCTTAAAAAATTTTGTGTATAACAGTATTTTATATAGAAAATTTTGTGTATAACAGTATTTTCTATAGAAAATTTTGTGTGTAACAGTATTTTCTATAGAAAATTTTGTGTATAACAGTATTTTCTATAGAAAATTTTGTGTACAACACTATTTTCTATAGAAAATTTTGTGTATAACAGTATTTTCTATAGAAAATTTTGTGTATAACAGTATTGTCTATAGAAAATTTTGTGTATAACAGTATTTTCTATAGAAAATTTTGTGTACAACAGTATTTTCTATAGAAAATTTTGTGTATAGCTGTATTTTTTACAGAAAATTTTGTGTATAACAGTATTTTCTATGCAAAAGTTTGTGTATAACAGTATTCTCTATAGACAATTTTATGCATAACAGTATTTTCTTTAAAAAATTTTGTGTATAACAGTATTTTCTATAGAAAATTTTGTGTATAACAGTATTTTCTATAGAAAATTTTGTGTATGACAGTATTTTCTATAGAAAATGTTGTGTATTACAGTATTTTCTATAGACAATTTTGTGTATAACAGTATTTTCTATGCAAAACTTTGTGTATAAGAGTATTTTTTATAGAAAATTTTGTGTATAACAATATTTTTTTATAAAATTTTGTGTGTAACAATATTTTCTATAGAAAAATATGTGTATAAAAGTATTTTCTATAGATAATTTTCTGTATAACAGTATTTTCTTTAGAAAATTTTGTGTATAACAGTATATTCTTTAGAAAAATTTGTGTATAACCGTATTGTTTTAGAAAATTTTGTGTGTAACAATATTTTCTATGGAAAAAATTTTTTATAACAGTATTTTCTATACACAATTTTGTGTATAACAGTATTTTCTACAGATAATGTTGTGTAAAGCAATATTTTCTATAGAAAATTTAGTGTATAACAGTATTTTCTATAGATAATTATGTGTATAACAGCATTTTCTATAGAAATGTTGTGTATAACTATACTCTCTATAGAAAATTTTATTTTAGTATTTAAAAAAAATTGTGTATAACTGTATTATTTATAAAATATTGTGTTTAGCAGTATTTTATTTAACAACTATAATCATCATGCTAATATGTAGGTATGTATTTTTTATTTAACTTATCATTTTATTAACTAAAAATTAAGTTATGCCACTTGTCAAGTACATTTTTGTATGTAGTTCTTAGAGCAATTCAACAATATAATTTTGAAATTAATATAAGATTGAAAGTACCAACATATTTTATGTACATATTTCACATACTTTCTGCAGCATGTCCTTTTTAACTGTTTGTATGCTATATCTATGATCACAAATACAAAAAAAAATATAAAATGCAAAAAAAAAGAAGACTCACCTCTCCAAATGTATTTGTAGCATGACAAATATAAATGCCAGTATCCTGACGATATGTATGTGTAATACCTAATTCAGATACCATGCCATCATCAAGTATCTGATCACGTATTGTGTATCTGTAAAGAAAAAAGCAAGTATTTTTTTTTTTTTTTAGAAAAAGAATTACACATGTTTTTGTGATATTAATGTTAACATGTGTATTTTGTAATACCTTTTGGTATTCATGTATGTACATGTTTAAAGGTAGCTACCTAAATACGTGGACATGAACAAAAATGCAAAAAGGTTCTTGTAGTTGAAGAATAAGAACTAGAATATGCATACAAGAAATAAAAAAAAAAAAATACAAAGTTGTACAATGCAAGCTGCAAATACTTATAACAATATAATACAGCCTGGCAGAAGGCACATTTGTTCACGTATCTGTCGAGTTAAAAATATAAGAACATGAATTTCATAAATACTTTTCCATATTTGCTTGTTCTTTGAATGTTCGTATATTGGAACATGTGCAAAATGCAAAGAAATTAAATATTTGTATTTGCAATTTTTGTTTGTTCCACTCTCTAGTGGTGCTTTCAGGGAAATTTTTTCAAATGTCAACAACAAAAAAATCGGAATATTGATTAAATTTAAAGGAAATTGAATTATAAAAATATAAACGTATGTTTCAACTCAATTAAATACATTTAAAATATGCAAGAAAATTCAGTCTAGTCCATAGTCTAGTCTATAGTCTAGTCTAGTCTAGTCTATAGTCTAGTCTATAGTCTAGTCTATAGTCTAGTCTATAGTCTAGTCTATAGTCTAGTCTATAGTCTAGTCTATAGTCTAGTCTATAGTCTAGTCTAGAGTCTAGTCTTAGTCTAGTCTATAGTCTAGTCTAGAGTCTAGTCTAGAGTCTAGTCTATAGTCTAGTCTATAGTCTAGTCTATAGTCTAGTCTATAGTCTAGTCTATAGTCTAGTCTATAGTCTAGTCTATAGTCTAGTCTATAGTCTAGTCTATAGTCTAGTCTATAGTCTAGTCTATAGTCTAGTCTATAGTCTAGTCTATAGTCTAGTCTATAGTCTAGTCTATAGTCTAGTCTATAGTCTAGTCTATAGTCTAGTCTATAGTCTAGTCTATAGTCTAGTCTATAGTCTAGTCTATAGTCTAGTCTATAGTCTAGTCTATAGTCTAGTCTATAGTCTAGTCTATAGTCTAGTCTATAGTCTAGTCTATAGTCTAGTCTATAGTCTAGTCTATAGTCTAGTCTATAGTCTAGTCTATAGTCTAGTCTATAGTCTAGTCTATAGTCTAGTCTATAGTCTAGTCTATAGTCTAGTCTATAGTCTAGTCTATAGCTAGTCTATAGTCTAGTCTATAGTCTAGTCTATAGTCCTAGTCTATCTAGTCTAGTCTATAGTCTAGTCTATAGTCTAGTCTATAGTCTAGTCTATAGTCTAGTCTATAGTCTAGTCTATAGTCTAGTCTATAGTCTAGTCTATAGTCTAGTCTATAGTCTAGTCTATAGTCTAGTCTATAGTCTAGTCTATAGTCTAGTCTATAGTCTAGTCCTATAGTCTAGTCTATAGTCTAGTCTATAGTCTAGTCTATATCTAGTCCTAGTCTAGTCTATAGTCTAGTCTATAGTCTAGTCTATAGTCTAGTCTATAGTCTAGTCTATAGTCTAGTCTATAGTCTAGTCTATAGTCTAGTCTATAGTCTAGTCTATAGTCTAGTCTATAGTCTAGTCTATAGTCTAGTCTATAGTCTAGCTATAGTCTAGTCTAGTCTAGTCTATTAGTCTAGTCTATAGTCTAGTCTATAGTCTAGTCTATAGTCTAGTCTATAGTCTAGTCTATAGTCTAGTCTAGTCTAGTCTATAGTCTAGTCTATAGTCTAGTCTATAGTCTAGTCTATAGTCTAGTCTATAGTCTAGTCTATAGTCTAGTCTATAGTCTAGTCCATAGTCTAGTCTATAGTCTAGTCTATAGTCTAGTCTATAGTCTATAGACTAGACTATAGACTAGACTATAGACTAGACTATAGACTAGACTATAGACTAGACTATAGACTAGACTATAGACTAGACTATAGTCTAGTCTATAGTCTAGTCTATGTCTAGTATAGTCTAGTCTATAGTCTAGTCTATAGTCTAGTCTATAGTCTAGTCTATAGTCTAGTCTATAGTCTAGTCTATAGTCTAGTCTATAGTCTAGTCTATAGTCTAGTCTATAGTCTAGTCTATAGTCTAGTCTATAGTCTAGTCTATAGTCTAGTCTATAGTCTAGTCTATAGTCTAGTCTATAGTCTAGTCTATAGTCTAGTCTATAGTCTAGTCTATAGTCCTAGTCTATAGTCTAGTTTAGTCTGGTCTATAGTCTAGTCTATAGTCTAGTCTATAGTCTAGTCTATAGTCTAGTCTATAGTCTAGTCTTAGTATGTCATAGGTCTAGTATCTAGTTCGTCTATGTCTAGTCTATAGTCTAGTCTATAGTCTAGTCTATAGTCTAGTCTATAGTCTAGTCTATAGTTCTGTCTATAGTCTAGTCTATCGTCTAGCTTAGTCTCTAGTCTAAGTCCTCTAGTCTAGTCTATAGTCTAGTCTATTAGTGCTAGTCTATAGTCTAGTCTATAGTCTAGGTCTATAGTCTAGTCTATAGTCTAGTCTATTAGTCTAGTCTATAGTCTCGTCTATAGTCTAGTCTATAGTCTAGTCTATAGTCTAGTCTATAGTCTAGTCTATAGTCTAGTACTATTCGTCTAGTCTATAGTCTAGTCTATAGTCTAGTCTATAGTCTAGTCTATAGTCTAGTCTATAGTCTAGTCTTAAGTCTAGTCTATTCGTCTAGTCTCTAGTCTAGTCATAGTCTAGGTCTTAGTCTATCTATAGTCTAGTCTTAAGTCTAGTCATTAGTCTAGTCTATAGTTCTAGTCTATAGTCTAGTCTTATAGTCTATAGTCTAGTCTATAGTCTAAGTCTATAGTCTAGTCTATAGTTCTAGTCTATAGTCTAGTCTATAGTCTATGTCTATAGTCTAGTCTATAGTCTAGTCTATAGTATAGTCTATAGTCTAGTCTATAGTCTAGTACTCTATAGTCTAGTCTATAGTTCTAAGTCTAGTTCTAGTCTATGTCTAGTAGAGTCTAGTCTATATGGTCTAGTCTATAGTCTAGTCTATAGGTCTAGTCTATAGTCTAGTTCATAGTTCTAGTCTCTAGTCTAGTCTCTAGTCTAGTCTATAGTCTAGTCTATTAGTCTAAGTCTATTAGTACTAGTCTATAGTCTAGTCTATAGTCTAGTCTATAGTCTAGTCTATAGTCTAGTCTATAGTCTAGTCTATATGTCTAGTCTTATAGTCTAGTCTATAGTCTAGTCTATAGTCTAGTCTATAGTCTAGTCTATAGTCTAGTCTATAGTCTAGTCTATAGATCTAGTCTATAGTCTAGTCTATAGTCTAGTCTATAGTCTATTTCTAGTAGTCTAGTCTGTCTATAGTCTAGTCTATAGTCTAAGTCTAGCTATCGTCTCGTCTATAGTTCTAGTCTATTAGTCTATTCTAGTTAGTCTATAGTTCTAGGTCTATAGTCTAGTCAATAGTGTAGTCTATAGTCTAGTCTATAGTCTAGTCTATAGTCTAGTCTATAGTGTAGTCTATAGTCTAGTCTATAGTCTAGTCTATAGTCTAGTCTATAGTCTAGTCTATAGTCTAGTCTATAGTCTAGTCAATAGTCTAGTCTATAGTCTAGTCTATAGTCTAGTCTATAGTCTAGTCTATAGTCTAGTATAGTCTAGTCTATAGTCTAGTCTATAGTCTAGTCTAGTCTAGTCTATAGTCTAGTCTATAGTCTAGTCTATAGTCTAGTCTATAGTCTAGTCTATAGTCTAGTCTATAGTCTAGTCTATAGTCTAGTCTATAGTCTAGTCTATAGTCTAGTCTATAGTCTAGTCTATAGTCTAGTCTATAGTCTAGTCTATAGTCTAGTCTATAGTCTAGTCTATAGTCTAGTCTATAGTCTAGTCTATAGTCTAGTCTATAGTCTAGTCTATAGTCTAGTCTATAGTCTAGTCTATAGTCTATTCTATAGTCTAGTCTATAGTCTAGTCTATAGTCTATTCTATAGTCTAGTCTATAGTCTAGTCTATAGTCTAGTCTATAGTCTAGTCTATATTCTAGTCAATAGTGTAGTCTATAGTCTAGTCTATAGTCTAGTCTATAGTGTAGTCTATAGTCTAGTCTATAGTCTAGTCTATAGTCTAGTCTATAGTCTAGTCTATAGTCTAGTCTATAGTTTAGTCTATAATCTAGTCTATAGTCTAGTCTATAGTCTAGTCTATAGTCTAGTCTATAGTCTAGTCTATAGTCTAGTCTATATTCTAGTCAATAGTCTAGTCTATAGCCCAGTCTATAGTAGAGTCTATAGTATAGTCTATAGTCTAGTATATAGTCTAATATATAGTCTAGTATATAGTCTAGTCTATGGTCTAGTCTATTGTCTAGTCTATTGTCTAGTCTATAGTCTAGTCTATAGTTTAGTCTATAGTCTAGTCTATAATCTAGTCTATAATCTAGTCTATAGTCTAGTCTATAATTTAGTCTATAGTCTAGTCTATAGTCTACTCCATAGTCTAGTCTGAAGTCCAGTATATAGTCTACTATACAGTCTAATCTACAGTTTACTTAATCTAGTCTATAGTATAATTGTGTCTATAGTATTGTTCATTTTTCTATAGATTAGACAATAGTCTTGCTGTAATCTAATCTTGTTGGCTTGTCCGATCTAAAGGAAATGGATCCCATAGATTAAAAGACTAGCTTCGACCTATCGGTGATAGGTTAAGCATCTTAACTAAACGCATTTTTGCTTATTTTTTAGCTTAAAAAATTACTGAAAATAAATTAAGTTTATTGCCTAGAAAATGCGCATTCACTTGTACATATGAGCATCTTTTTAATATTGTATGTCAGTCCGTTCGTCTGTCTATTTTAATTTCTGACATTGTTTACATAACAAAAGAAGCAAAATGAAATCTTGTGTCAAGGTTTTCATTCTTTTTATTTGTGCTTTTTTTTATTTTTCTACTTTTCTGTAATGTTTCCTTTACACACACTTGTACATACAATAGAATCGTCAAATATGCACACACATTCTCATACTCATACGTAAATGCGAAAATATTCATGTTTATGAAGACTTATTTATAAGAATGTATGCAGATTAAGGTTGTACTCAAAAAAACAGGATATAAAACAGTGTATGAATAGAACTATTCCACTTTTGTTTTTTTTTGTAGTTATTATTTGTCACTTAAAGTTTTGATTTTTTACACCAATCGGTATATTTAATAAGAGTGTATGTATGTGTATTAGAACATTACGTGTTAAATAGGATGTAATATTAATATCCCATAACCAGGTAGATTAACACCTGATATACATTTTGTACCATCCTAATGTATACATATATGAAATGATAAATTTTAGTTAGTCTTTTTGTTATCATTTTTCTCTTTCATTCCCTTCTTATCTATAACTCTCCTAAGCAAAACTGTGTGATATACTTGTATTGACTAGTTTAGGGTGATAAGACAAAAAACAAATACAAAACAAGAAAGAAGGACAATTTGATTACTTGTGTCATCTGCATGGAAACAATTTTTAATTGATAGATAAAAACAACAACAGCAACAACAACTAAAGTAAATGAATAAAAAAATCTATAGAAAATCGTAAAACAATGGACACACAAATGGAACTCAATTAAGTAGATTTGACAACAAAAATTAAAGAAAAAAAATGAATTTCATTTCAACTATGAAATGTTTGTTTGATTTTGAATTTTTAGAAAATAGGAAAAAAATATTTAATTTACTGGAAAATTAAACTGAAAATTATTTAGTTAGTATTTTACTAAGTTTATAACTTAATTTCCGAAATATTTCAATATTTTATGTATTTAATGGAAATATTTAATTAAAGTTTTTATTTTATTATTGAAATTAAGGTTTATGGCCCTAACTGCGAATTTTCAATTAAATTAATATTCAAATTATATTATTGTTTTGCAGATCAATCGCTGCACTTTAAGATGGATTATAATAGTCTTGTTTATCTGTAGTCTGGACTAGGCTGTAGTCTGAATATAGTCTGGAATTCAGTGGAGTATTGTCTATAGACTGGACTATGCTTTGAACAACAGTCTTGTCTAAAGATTGGATTATAGTCATGACTATAGACTGGACTATAGTATTTTCTGTAGTGCAACCTATAGTCTTGTTTATAGACTGGACTAATTATAGTTTTATATAAAGGCTGGACTATAGCATGACCAACTGTTTTGTTCATAGATTGGATTATAATCTGGACTATAGTTTGTTTATAGTTTGTTCTCTAAAGGCTGGACTATGGTCTTAACGGTAGAGTCGTCTATAGTCTTGTCTATATAAACTATAAACTATAGACTATAGTTTTGTCTATAGACTTGACTATAGTTATACCTACAGCTTTGACTATAGTCTTGCCTACTGACTTGTCTTTACTTTTGTCTAAAGACTGAACTACAGTCTGAATAACTTGCCTAATTGCTTTGTAGTCTGGTCAATAGTTTGGCCTTTAATTTGGACTATAATCCGGTTCATAGTCTATCTATAAGCAGGTCGACAGTTTGGACTATATCCTTGACTGGAGTCTTGTCTATTCTCTAAACATTAGTCCAGACTGTAGACTGGTCTATACTCTGCACTATATTTTATCTAACTGGACTATAATCTGAAAATATACTTTCCTGTAGACTTAAGAATAGTCTTGTCGAAAGTCTGGACAATATTCTGATCTATTATTTGGATTGTAGCCTGGTCTACAGTCTGGTTTAAGTCTGACTTATTATTTGGTCTACAGTCTTGTCTATAGACCTGATTACATTTTGATCTATAGGCTGGAGTATAGTTTAGAGAACAGTCTTGTCTATAATCTTGTCTATAGACTTGATTATATTTTGATCTATAAGCTGGAGTATAGTTTAGAGAACAGTCTTGTCTATAGGCTGGAGTATAGTTTAGAGAACAGTCTTGTCTATAGACTGGACTATGTCTTTACTTTTGTCTTAAGACTGGACTACTGTCTGGACTAACGTTTTTTCAATATACTGGACTACAGTCTGAATAACTTGCCTAAAGACTGCACTAGATCATTGTATAAAATCTGGTATATGTATAGTCTTATAAATATAGTAATATGGACTAGAATCTGGTCTAGAGTGTAGTCTATATTCGGGTCAAAAGTCTTGTCCGTATTCTGGTCAATAGTTTGGTCTTTAGTATGGATTATAGTACGGTTAATAGTCTGTCTAAAGTCAGACCGACAGTTTGGACTATATCCTTGACTGGCGACTTGCCTATTTTATGAACCTAGACTTTAGTCATGCCTATACTATGGACTATAGTTGTATCTATAGACTGGAATATAGTCTGAAAAAATAGCCCTTCCTGTAGACTTAACAATAGTTTTGTGGAAAGTTTGGACAATAGTCTGATCTATAATCAGGATTGTAGTCTGGTCTATCGTCTAATATAGATTGGTTTGTAATTTGGACTATAGACTGTTTTATGTCTGACCTATAGTCTTGTCTAAAGAACAGTCTTGTGTATAGGCTGGACTATTGTCTTGTCTGTAGACTGAATTTTAGTCCGGACTCTTGTCAATATACTGGACTTTTGTCTCTATAGCTATACTCTGGACTATAGTCATGTCTGTAGTCTGAACAAAAGTCTATAAATTTTTCTTATTTATTTTGGAATATCCACTTTTGTAGTTGTTGTAGTACTGAAGTTTACAAAAAACTATAGTAACAAGTAAGAGTGTTATATTCGGCAATGCCGAATCTTATATACCCACCATCAAACCTCGTTTGACTAGAATGAAACTTACTTATGTCGAACTTCATCTATATACTCGTATTTTTTAGGCCAGTTATAAGCGTTAAAGTAATTTTCTAAAGGGGACCTTATATGGGGGGTAGAGTCAATCATGGACCAATCCTCATAAAATTTTTTAGATAGATTTTGACTCGTATGAAACTTACTTATGTCGAATTTCATCTATATACTAGTATTTTTAAGCCAGTAATGAGCGTTAAAGTCATTTTCTGAAGGGGACCTTATATGGGGGGTAGGGTCAATTATGAACCGATCCTCATAAAATTTTGCATAATGATTTTGGATCATAAGAAACTTCCATATGCCGAATTTTATCGCTATATTCGTATTTTTAAACAAGTTATGGCTGTTAAAGCTGCTTTTCGAGGGGCCACTTGTATGGGGGCTATCAGAAAATGTGGACCGATATTGCCCATTTTCAATACCAAACAAACCTTACCTGTTAGAAATATTTATGTAAAATTTCAACCCTCTAGCTCTTTCCATTGGGACTCTATCGTGCTTTCAACAGACAGACAGACGGACGGACGGACGGACAGACGGACATACATGGCTAGATCGACTTAGAATTTAATGAGGACCCAGAATATATATACTTTTGTGGGTCTATGACCAATATTTCGATGTGTTACAAACGGAATGACAAAATCAATATAGCCCCCATCTTTTTTGATGGTGGGTATAAAAATCGGTTAAGTAATATTACAAAAGTATTTAAAATTACTTCATAATTAATTTTTTAAAAATAATTCTTTTTCAACAATTTTATACTTAGAATGTTCAAGTACTTGACTTACTAATAATATATGAATATTAGGGTGGTTCTAAAAGTTATTAAACATTTTTGCACATACAGTACAAAAGAAATGACTTCAGTACAAATACAACAAACTCAACTATCATTTGAATTACAAACAGTATAATCTTATATCTCTTGCAAACAAACAATACCACCCTAATGCAACAAAAAATAAGAAAAATATGAACACTTCAATAACACTTATGAAAAAAAAAAATAAAATAATAATAACCAAAAATAAACATACCTTGTATCCATTGATTCATCAATAGTCTGTTGTGTTGCTTGCAATTTCCATTGAATATCAATTGGATTGTCGCCTTGAACGTTGCATTGTATGTGAACTTGTTTGCCCTTAGCAACAGAAATTTGTTTCGATTTCGTTTGGAAGTGAGCGGGAACTTTTCAAGGAAAAAATTAAATAAATTTTATTAAAAAAATTAAATTCTTACTTAAATATGATAAAAAATAATTGTGAAATTTAGAATATATATTTTTTTCCACAACAAATACTCACCATTAACTTTTAAAAATATCACCTTACTCACACCAGAACCGATATTATTCTTGGCCTCACACAAAAAATGACCCTGAGATTCTTTGCTAATTTTCTTAAAATGTATGGTGCCATTAGCAAATAGTTGTACGGTGGGTTCGTAGATAAAGTCCTTATATTCACCGGGTGTCGGCCCGATGGCCTTTTTCCAGGTTATGGTGGGTTTTGGATAACCCGATGATTGGCAGTGTAGGAAAACATCATCACCAGCCTGAGCGCTGGCATCTTTGGGTTCTAATATCCATTTAGGTGGTACATTAACCGATAAAGGCACCATAAAACGTTCAGTGCCCGCCACATTTTGGGCTATACAAGTATAATTGCCCGAATGTTCGGAAGTGATATGTTCTATAACTAAACTGGCCGAATATTCATCTAAACGTCTGATGACTTCATTGCTTTAAACAACAAATTTATAATTTTCTATTTTATTTAAATTTTTAAATTAGCTTTACTTACCCAGTTCCTATTAAAGGTTTACCATTACGTTCCCATCGAAAACTGACCGGTAGGTCACCTTCTAATATTTGACATGATATGGCTGCCCGCATGCCCTCTCTTAACATATTGGTCATGGCTTGTATGGGCATGATTTTCGGTGGCACTGCACGAGTAATTGAAAAAAAAAAAAAAAAACAAAATGTACAAAACGTGAGTCATTAGTGTTTTGTGGGGCAAATGGTAGAACGAATGCTAAAGTATCATTGTACGAGTAAGTGGTAGTTTAGTGGAAACCACTGAAAACTCATTATAATCATGGTGTATGCAGTCATTGTTTACAACTAGGCTAAGCTCTATAAAGAGTATTAGATTTCTGATATTTTACGGATGTGGAATATAAACTAGAACGAAGGATATAGACTTTTCAGATATTCGTTTTTTACGTAATTTGAGTCCTCTATAGTTGTTGTCAATAGTGTCTATAGTCTCGTCTATATATTGTCGCCTATAGTTCATAGTCTGGATTATAGTAGGGTCTATAGTCTAGATTATAGGCGTTTTTAATCTGGATTATAGATTATCCAACAGGTGGATATATAGTCCCGTCTAAAGTTTAGTCAAAACTGCAGTCGTACCTACAATGTCATCTACGATGGCTGGACTATAGGCTCGCAATCAGTGTGTTCTATTGTGTCGACTATAGTCTGGACTATAGTGTCGTCTTTAGCCTAGACTATAGATTCGACTATAGTCTGGGCTATAGTGTCCACTGTCTGCACTATAGTATCGACTAGAGTCTGGAATATAGTATCGACTAGAGTCTGGACTATAATGTCGACTATAGTTTGGACTATAATGTCGACTATAGTCTGGACAATAGTCTGGACTATAGTCTGGACAATAGTCTGGACTATAGTCTGAACAATAGTCTGGACTATAATCTGGACTATAGTCTGGACTATAGTCTGGACTATAGTCTGGACTATAGTCTGGACTATAGTCTGGGCTATAGTCTGGACTATAGTCTGGATTATAGGCTGGACTATAGTCTGGGCTATAGTCTGGACTATAGTCTAGACTATAGTCTAGACTATAGTGTCGACTATAGTCTGGACATTAGTCTGGACTATAGTATTGACTATAGTATGGACTATAGTCTGGACTATAGTCTGGACTATAGTCTGGACTATAGTCTGGACTATAGTCTGGACTATAGTCTGGACTATAGTCTGGACTATAGTCTGGACTATAGTCTGGACATTAGTCTGGACTATAGTCTGGACATTAGTCTGGACTATAGTATTGACTATAGTCTGGACAATACTGTCGACTATAGTCTGGACTATAGTCTGGACTATAGTGTCGACTATCTGAAATATAGTGTTGAATATAGTCTGTACTATAGTTGCGACTATAGTCTGTAGTCTAGACTATAGTCTCGTCCAAAGTTTGGAAGTCGCATTTAGATTATTTTCTATAGTCTAATGTACGTATTAAGTCTGATTTATGGATTAGTCAAAAGTCTGATCTATAGTCTCGAGTATTGTCTGGACTATATATAGTCTAAACTATAGTCGAGTATATGGTGCGATCTATAGTCTGAACTATTGTCTCGACTATAGTTTGGACTTTAGTTTCGTCTGTATTCTGAACTATAATAGCGACTAATTATAGTCACATCTATAGTCCTGCATAGTCTAGTCTATAATCTGGACTATAGTCGCGTTTTTAGCCTGGACTATAATGTACTCTATAGTAAGGACAATACACCTGTCTATAGGCTGGATTTTAGTTTGGGTTATATTCCAGACGACAATCTCTTATATAGTCTGAACCAGAGTCGCTTTTAAAATCTCGCCTGAAGTCTACGCTTTAGCCTCATCTATGGTCTGAACAATAGCATCGTTTTTAGTGTGAAGTATGGTCTCATTCATAATCCGTACTGTATTTTCTTCTATAGACTGAACTAAAGTCTTATATATAGAGTGGACTATATATAATCATGTTCATAATCTGGAAGTTTGTCTACTGTATCTTCTATACTCTCGGATTCCTCTAACTGCTAACCCTAAATTTTTCAATTGTTCAAATCACCAACAAAAGCAAGACGAAGAAAAATAAGACGAATATTTGCTTTAGTTTGGTATCAGATTGCAATTGTTGTAACAATAAAATTGCAAACAGCATCAAACAATAATAGTTGTGGTGAAGATAATGACTTTAATGGTAATAATGATGATGAAGATGAAAACGATGCCAATAGTAATGATGATTACTGTGATGGTTCTAGTGTTTATACTCATTAGTTGCAGAAAAATACTTTTGTTCTGGCTACTGATGAGGTTTTGATTGTGTATAAGGGAAAATATTTATACAAATAAAGTTTTTTTTTTTTTATATTTATATAAAAAAGTCATTGACCATTAAAGAGGAAGTTTTCTAGAGTACTAAAGTCGTTTAATATAAATATCGGTAAGCAAACAATTTTATATCATAAAATATATATAAAACTTAAATTTTAAACTATTAAAATTTGTGTTTTTTAATTTTAGTAATAAATTGTATTTCTAACTTATTTGCTGCTTGTAAAAATCTAATATTTATATTACTCATTTCAAGCATAAAATTATAATACCTTCTTTAAAACATAAAAAATAAGTGTATGAAAAAAAATCGATTCGTACAATAATGAAAAATTTTAAAAAGAACAACCCAACAATAGCTGCTTAACACTTACCCAGTACTTGTATCTCAACATTTCGTCTTGAAGTTTGTTTTTGTTTATTCTGTGCCATACACGTATAAGTGCCGGCATCCTCTAATCTTTGCAATTGTTCTATGATTAAAGTGCCATTGTTGTAAGCTCGTTGTCGACGATTTATGGGCAAAGTTTGGCCATCTAAATTAAACAATACAATAATGAAGAGAAAAAAATCCATTGTATTTGTTTTCATTTTAAAACATACATAAGTATTTAAGTTTGTATACTGTTTAGGAAAATATTTTGATTGGAATTTATTTATGAGATATAGAAACTTTTGAAATATTTTCAACATAAACATCCCAATTTTATAGAAAAAGCGATGTCATAAGGAAAGGTACCATTTAGTACGTAAATACTATCGTTCTCGATAAGAGAATGGAGAATGGTCGTTTTTATCATCTAAGTAATATCATTTCGATATCGTTTGGTTTATTGAGATATTTCGAAAAGTTGTTCATTAACTTGTTAAAAAGTGGCGTATGAGTGATATACAAATATGCAGAAATATCATATTACTCATTCGCCCAATTTTGCATTTTTTTCTTTAGAACAACTTATATAGTAGTCTGCTCTACTGTCGAGAAAATATTCTGTTCTATAGCCATTTTAACCGAACTTGAACTGAACTAGAACTAAACTAGAACTGAACTAGAACTGAACTAGAACTGAACTAGAACTGAACTAGAACTGAACTAGAACTGAACTAGAACTGAACTAGAACTGAACTAGAACTGAACTAGAACTGAACTAGAACTGAACTAGAACTGAACTAGAACTGAACTAGAACTGAACTAGAACTGAACTAGAACTGAACTAGAACTGAACTAGAACTGAACTAGAACTGAACTAGAACTGAACTAGAACTGAACTAGAACTGAACTAGAACTGAACTAGAACTGAACTAGAACTGAACTAGAACTGAACTAGAACTGAACTAGAACTGAACTAGAACTGAACTAGAACTGAACTAGAACTGAACTAGAACTGAACTAGAACTGAACTAGAACTGAACTAGAACTGAACTAGAACTGAACTAGAACTGAACTAGAACTGAACTAGAACTGAACTAGAACTGAACTAGAACTGAACTAGAACTGAACTAGAACTGAACTAGAACTGAACTAGAACTGAACTAGAACTGAACTAGAACTGAACTAGAACTGAACTAGAACTGAACTAGAACTGAACTAGAACTGAACTAGAACTGAACTAGAACTGAACTAGAACTGAACTAGAACTGAACTAGAACTGAACTAGAACTGAACTAGAACTGAACTAGAACTGAACTAGAACTGAACTAGAACTGAACTAGAACTGAACTAGAACTGAACTAGAACTGAATTAGAACTGAACTAGAACTATCTGGAATAAGACTAGATATCACTAAGGTGTCTTACCTCTCTCCCAATGTATTTTGTCGATGGGATAGCCAGCCACCGGACATTTAACAATTAAATCATGGCCAGATATACCAGTAATTTTAGGCATTTCACGTATATGAGGTAAACCATAAATGTTAACTTTGGCACTATGGGATACTCTGGAGAAAAAAGGGTGCAAAAATTAAATTTTTATTAATAAATTAAAAAAAAAAAAAAAATATTTTGTATTCAGAGTTACAGTGTATTTTTGCGAAACTTTCCTACACTTAAAATCATTAATATAATTAATTGGTTAATTAATTAATTAATGATACGATAAATTAAGTTATAGTTTTCACAAAACAACATATTTAATTATTTATGTTTTAAATTTTAAAAATAAATTTTCAAAGTAATGAAACCTTTCAATTTCATCAAAAGAATTAATGACTAATATGAAATAAATTATTTTTTCCAAATAAAATATTCATAAAATATTTCAAATGTTTAAATAAAAATTTATAATAAAATGGTTGTTTTGTGTGAACAAAAAATATTGTGACACTTTTACCTATAAATACGCCACATTTCAAATACATTTGAACCGAGAAAAAACACAAAAAAGTATAAAATAAAAAGTTTTAAAATTGATTTGTTTCTATTGATTGCAAATATTTTGTCAAGCTAATCAAGAACTTATAAATATGCAATTGTATGCAGGTTTTTATTGAATTTATGGGATTTTTTGTTGTTGCACGATTAAATATTCATAAAATCATTTAAATCTTTAAAACAAGTATAATTTATACAATCAAACATAAATGCAAATTTTACACTTTAATGCCTTTCCATTGTGTTTGGTGGTTAAAATTATTTTAAATTGATTCTATTTGATTATGAATTTAAGCATATTTTTATCATGTAAGTAGGTTATTTTTAAGTACATCTATTTTTTGTTCAATGACTATTTTGTTTAATGAAATTATATTTATTAATGTTATTTAAATTAAATTGTGCAGTATTTGTTTGGCAAAAGTATGTGGTCAATTTAGAATGTAAAATTATTAAATTTTTACAATTTAGAAATTATTATGAAATAATTTCTTCTAAAAAATATAAATATTAATTAAATAAATTTTTTTTTCAACACAAAACTCCAATTTCTTCAACTTACTTGCCAATAGCATTCTGAGCTGTGCAGGTGTACTCTCCACCATCTTCTTCCTTGACATTGGTAACATTGACATGACTAATGACATCATCATGAATCGTAACATATTGCCCCACTAAAAACGTGAATTATCTGGAATCTAAAAGAAAATAAAAGTTTAATTGAGGGAAATGAAAACTTTAAAAGTTTAATAGTGGAACAACTTTTTAATCAAAAAAATGTTAAAAATTTTCTTTAGAATTTCACTTACCGGAAATCCGTCCAAAGTCCAAGTAAATTGTGGCAATGGATTACCTGTTGCCACACATTTCAAAGAAACTGTTGGTCCAGGTTGTAGTGTTTGCTCCGAAAACCAATAAAGTAATTCTGGTGAGGCATCTGTAAGTAGAATGGAAATGTAAAGAGATTAAGTATTTTTCTATAGATATTCTGCAAAGTTCTACTTCTAGTTCAGTTCTAGTTCAGTTCTAGTTCAGTTTAGTTCAGTTCTAGTTCAGTTCTAGTTCAGTTCTAGTTCAGTTTCTAGTTCAGTTCTAGCTCAGTTCTAGTTCAGTATTCAGTAGTTCAGTTCTAGTTCAGTTCTAGTTCAGTTCTAGTTCAGTTCTAGTTCAGTTCTAGTTCCGTTCTAGTTCAGTTTCTAGTTCATGTGTTCAGTAGTTCAGTTCTAGTTCAGTTCTAGTTCAGTTCTAGTTCAGTTCTAGTTCAGTTCTAGTTCAGTTCTAGTTCAGTTCATAGTTCAGTTCTAGTTCAGTTCTAGTTCAGTTCTAGTTCAGTTCTAGTTCAGTTCTAGTTCAGTTTCTAGTTCAGTTCTAGTTCAGTTCTAGTTCAGTTCTAGTTCAGTTCTAGTTCAGTTCTAGTTCAGTTCTAGTTCAGTTCTATTTCAGTTCTAGTTCAGTTCTAGTTCAGTTCTGTTCAGTCTAGTTCAGTTCTAGTTCAGTTCTAGTTCCAGTTCTAGTTCAGTTCTAGTTCAGTTCTAGTTCAGTGTCTAGTTCAGTTTCTAGTTCAGTTCTAGTTCAAGTTCTAGTTCAGTTCTAGTTTCAGTTCTAGTTCAGTTCTAGTTCAGTTCTAGTTCAGTTCTAGTTCAGATTCTAGTTCAGTTTCTAGTTCAGTTCTAGTTCAGTTCTAGTTCAGTTCTAGTTTCAGTTCTAGTTCAGTTCTTAGTTCAGTTCTAGTTCAGATTCTAGTTCGTTCTAGTTCAGTTCTAGTTCGTTTCTAGTTCAGTTACTAGTTCCAGTTCTAGAGTTCAGTGTCTAGTTCAGTTCTAGTTCAAAGTTCTAGTTCAGTTCAGTTATAGTTCAGTTCTAGTTCAGTTCTAGTTGTTCTAGTTCAGTTCTAGTTCAGTTCTAGTTCAGTTCTAGTTCGTTCAGTTCTTTAGTTCAGTTTCTAGTTCAGTTCTAGTTCCGTTCTTAGTTCAGTTCTAGTTCAGTTCCTAGTTCAGTTCTTAGTTCAGTTATAGTCCGTTTCTAGTTCAGTTCTAGTTCAGTTCTAGTTCAGTTCTAGTTCAGTCTAGTTTTCAGTTCTTGTTCAGTCTGTTCAGTTTTAGTTCAGTTCTAGTTCAGTTCTAGTTCAGGTTCTAGTTCAGTTCTAGTTCAGTTTCTAGTTCAGTTTAGTATTCTAGTTCAGTTCTAGTTCAGTTCTAGTTCAGTTTAGTTCAGTTCTAGTTCAGTTCTAGTTCAGTTCTAGTTCCGTTCTAGTTTCAGTTCTAGTTAGTTCTAGTTCAGTTCTAGTTCAGTTCTAGTCAGTTCTAGTTCAGTTCTAGTTCAGTTCTAGTTTCAGTTCTAGTTCAGTTCTAGTTTCAGTTCTAGTTCAGTTCTAGTTCAGTTCTAGTTCAGTTCTAGTTCAGTTCTAGTTCAGTTCTAGTTCAGTTCTAGTTCAGTTCTAGTTCAGTTCTAGTTCAGTTCTAGTTCAGTTCTAGTTCAGTTCTAGTTCAGTTCTAGTTCAGTTCTAGTTCAGTTCTAGTTCAGTTCTAGTTCAGTTCTAGTTCAGTTCTAGTTCAGTTCTAGTTCAGTTCTTGTTCAGTTCTAGTTCAGTTCCAGTTCAGTTCTAGTTCAGTTCTAATTCAGTTCTAATTCAGTTCTAGTTCAGTTCTAGTTCAGTTCTAGTTCAGTTCTAGTTCAGTTCTTGTTCAGTTCTTGTTCAGTTCTAGTTCAGTTCTAGTTCAGTTCTAGTTCAGTTCTAGTTCAGTTCTAGTTCAGTTCTAGTTCAGTTCTAGTTCAGTTCTAGTTCAGTTCTAGTTCAGTTCTAGTTCAGTTCTAGTTCAGTTCTAGTTCAGTTCTAGTTCAGTTTCTAGTTCAGTTCTAGTTTAGTTCTAGTTCAGTTCTAGTTCAGTTCTAGTTCAGTTCTAGTTCAGTTCTAGTTCAGTTCTAGTTCAGTTCTAGTTCAGTTCTAGTTCAGTTCTAGTTCAGTTCTAGTTCAGTTCTAGTTCAGTTCTAGTTCAGTTCTAGTTCAGTTCTAGTTCAGTTCTAGTTCAGTTCTAGTTCAGTTCTAGTTCAGTTCTAGTTCAGTTCTAGTTCAGTTCTAGTTCAGTTCTAGTTCAGTTCTAGTTCAGTTCTAGTTCAGTTCTAGTTCAGTTCTAGTTCAGTTCTAGTTCAGTTCTAGTTCAGTTCTAGTTCAGTTCTAGTTCAGTTCTAGTTCAGTTCTAGTTCAGTTCTAGTTCAGTTCTAGTTCAGTTCTAGTTCAGTTCTAGTTCAGTTCTAGTTCAGTTCTAGTTCAGTTCTAGTTCAGTTCTAGTTCAGTTCTAGTTCAGTTCTAGTTCAGTTCTAGTTCAGTTCTAGTTCAGTTCTAGTTCAGTTCTAGTTCCGTTCTAGTTCAGTTCTAGTTCAGTTCTAGTTCAGTTCAGTTCAGTTCTAGTAAGTAAAATGGAATATAAGAGATTAAGTATTTTTCTATAGATATTCTGCAAAGTTCTACTTCTAGTTCAGTTTTAGTTCAGTCCAAGTTAGTTGTAGTTCAGTTTCTAGTTCAGTTCAAGCTCAGTTCAAGTTCAATTCTAGTTCAGTTCTAGTTAAGTTCTAGTTCAGTTCTAGTTCAGTTCTAGTTCAGTTCTAGTTCAGTTCTAGTTCAGTTCTAGTTCAGATTTCTAGTTTCAGTTCATTCATGCTTTAATAGTAACACTTCCTTAACAAGAAATAATTTATGTTTTGCTTTATAGAGCATCTAAATGACTACATAGAATTTTAATATTTATAAAGCCTCTTTTCCTCAATATTCAATATCTAATCACACAATTTGTTTTTTTCAGATATCCCTCAAGGATGTGTTGCTTTCTAAATATTTTATTATTGAAACAGAATAAAAAAAAATTAGACAAAACCATTGTAATTCTGTTTTGCCTTTTTATTGCTGTTAATAAAAAAAATCAAACATAAAATCAATTTCCGCTTGTAAATTATTTCATCTCCTTACAAAACAAAAAATCAAATGAATAAAAAACGAGATGAAAAATGACGTATGTGGCTTAACCTCAAACTGAGGGTGGAGGAAAATTGGATTCATAACGTTTTTTTTTAATAATTTATAAAATTTTTGTAAGGAGTAATTAAATTATTAAAAAAATTTATAAAAGTTGTTCAGTATTTTTGAAGTTTTGTAAGAATTATCGGGAACTTATTTAAAAATTAAAGAAAATTAATCTTAATTAATTTCCCCATATGTTTGGACATAAATGACTATTTAAAAAAAACACAAATGTATCTGAGTTTAATTACCATTTATTTAGCTAGAAAAAACATATAAGTATTTATGTTTGTGTATGTGTATATGTACATATATTATGATTAGTAAATGTTATTCTTTCTCTTTTAAAAGTCAATTTAGTAAATTGAAAAATAATCAAATTAAATATTGGTTTTCACACCTACACAGACATCGGTCGTTCGCATGCACACACCCACCTACACTTGTATCAACACAATTGTGTGTATCTATGCGTATCTGTGGTAGCGGTTATAATGGCAAGTGGGCGAATTGAATATGAATATGGTTGTGAATGTTTGCAATTTATTATTATATATTTTGCAATGGGTGACATCAAATTTAAACATAAAAGTATGTATGTGTGTGCACATCCTGTGCGTGTGGTTTAATATACACATTCATATACATACATATAAACCATAAAATCAACAATTTGCAAATGTACACTATATTATAAATATATATGTACGTATGTATGTACACATTTGTATATTTGGTATGTACATATATATTTATTTGAATTGTGTATTTAATGATGGTTTTTAACAGTCTTATAAATAAACTATATGTTTATATGGCATTTAATTATGGATAAAATTTAAAGTGAGGAAGAGCTGAGGAAAAGTTATTAACAATATTTGGTACTATAAACAATTCCATGGTCGATACTATAACATGTATTATAGTATATTAAAGAATATACGAATTTCAAAAATCGATTTTAAAGTCGACCAAATAATCGCCTAAAATCATGATTATAGTCTATTCTATTTTAATTAAACTGAACTAGAATTAAAGAACTAGAACTGAACTAGAACTGAACTGAACTAGAACTGAACTGAACTAGAACTGAACTAGAACTGAACTAGAACTGAACTAGAACTGAACTAGAACTGAACTAGAACTGAACTAGAACTGAACTAGAACTGAACTAGAACTGAACTAGAACTGAACTAGAACTGAACTAGAACTGAACTAGAACTGAACTAGAACTGAACAACTGAACTAGAACTGAACTAGAACTGAACTAGAACTGAACTAGAACTGAACTAGAACTGAACTAGAACTGAACTAGAACTGAACTAGAACTGAACTAGAACTGAACTAGAACTGAACTAGAACTGAACTAGAACTGAACTAGAACTGAACTAGAACTAGAACTGAACTAGAACGACTAGAACTGAACTAGAACTGAACTAGAACTGAACTAGAACTGAACTAGAACTGACTAGAACTGAACTAGAACTGAACTAGAACTGAACTAGAACTGAACTAGAACTGAACTAGAAGCTGAACTAGAACTGAACTAGAACTGAACTAGAACTGAACTAGAACTGAACTAGAAACTGAAACTAGAACTGAACTAGAACTGAACTAGAACTGAACTAGAACTGAACTAGAACGACTAGAACTGAACTAGAACTGAACTAGAACTGAACTAGAACTGAACTAGAACTAGAACTGAACTAGAACTGAACTAGAACTGAACTAGAACTGAACTAGAACTGAACTGACCTACTAGAACTAGAACTGAACAGAACTGAACTAGAACTGAACTAGAACTGAACTGACTGAACTAGAACTGAACTAGAACTGAACTAGAACTGAACTAGAACTGAACTAGAACTGAACTAGAACTGAACTAGAACTGAACTAGAACTGAACTAGAACTGACTAGACTGAACTGAACTGAACTAGAACTGAACTAGAACGGAACTAGAACTGAACTAGAACTGAACTAGAACTGAACTAGAACTGAACTAGAACTGAACTGAACTAGAACTGAACTAGAACTGAACTAGAACTGAACTAGAACTGAACTAGAACTGAACTAGAACTGAACTAGAACTGAACTAGAACTGAACTAGAACTGAACTAGAACTGAACTAGAACTGAACTAGAACTGAACTAGAACTGAACTAGAACTGAACTAGAACTGAACTAGAACTGAACTAGAACTGAACTAGAACTGAACTAGAACTGAACTAGAACTGAACTAGAACTGAACTAGAACTGAACTAGAACTGAACTAGAACTGAACTAGAACTGAACTAGAACTGAACTAGAACTGACTAGAACTGAACTAGAACTGAACTAGAACTGAACTAGAACTGAACTAGAACTGAACTAGAACTGAACTAGAACTGAACTAGAACTGAACTAGAACTGAACTAGAACTGAACTAGAACTGAACTAGAACTGAACTAGAACTGAACTAGAACTGAACTAGAACTGAACTAGAACTGAACTAGAACTGAACTAGAACTGAACTAGAACTGAACTAGAACTGAACTGAACTAGAACTGAACTGAACTGAACTGAACTGAACTGAACTAGAACTGAACTGAACTGAACTAGAACTGAACTAGAACTGAACTAGAACTGAACTAGAACTGAACTAGAACTGAACTAGAACTGAACTAGAACTGAACTAGAACTGAACTAGAACTGAACTAGAACTGAACTAGAACTGCTGAACTAGAACTGAACTAGAACTGAACTAGAACTGAACTAGAACTGAACTAGAACTGAACTAGAACTGAACTAGAACTGAACTAGAACTGAACTAGAACTGAACTAGAACTGAACTAGAAACTGAACTAGAACTGAACTAGAACTGAACTAGAACTGAACTAGAACTGAACTAGAACTGAACTAGAACTGAACTAGAACTGAACTAGAACTGAACTAGAACTGAACTAGAACTGAACTAGAACTGAACTAGAACTGAACTAGAACTGAACTAGAACTGAACTAGAACTGAACTAGAACTGAACTAGAACTGAACTAGAACTGAACTAGAACTGAACTAGAACTGAACTAGAACTGAACTAGAACTGAACTAGAACTGAACTAGAACTGAACTAGAACTGAACTAGAACTGAACTAGAACTGAACTAGAACTGAACTAGAACTGAACTAGAACTGAACTAGAACTGAACTAGAACTGAACTAGAACTGAACTAGAACTAGAACTGAACTGAACTGAACTGAACTAGAACTGAACTGAACTGAACTGAACTAGAACTGAAACTGAACTAGAACTGAACTGAACTGAACTGAACTAGAACTGAACTAGAACTGAACTAGAACTGAACTAGAACTGAACTAGAACTGAACTAGAACTGAACTAGAACTGAACTAGAACTGAACTAGAACTGAACTAGAACTGAACTAGAACTGAACTAGAACTGAACTAGAACTGAACTAGAACTGAACTAGAACTGAACTAGAACTGAACTAGAACTGAACTAGAACTGAACTAGAACTGAACTAGAACTGAACTAGAACTGAACTAGAACTGAACTAGAACTGAACTAGAACTGAACTAGAACTGAACTAGAACTGAACTAGAACTGAACTAGAACTGAACTAGAACTGAACTAGAACTGAACTAGAACTGAACTAGAACTGAACTAGAACTGAACTAGAACTGAACTAGAACTGAACTAGAACTGAACTAGAACTGAACTAGAACTGAACTAGAACTGAACTAGACTGAACTAGAACTGAACTAGAACTGAACTAGAACTGAACTAGATCTGAACTAGAACTGAACTAGAACTGAACTAGAACTGAACTAGAACTGAACTAGAACCGAACTAGAACTGAACTAGAGTTGTACTGGAGATCAAATTATTTTTGAATTTTGATTATTTTTATTAACTTACCCCCTAATTGTAGTTCAGCCGTTGATTGTATTTGTTCCCATTCGTTGGATACAAAACATTGATACATGCCGGGATCATCTTTTTGTACCTTTTTAATGATAAGGCGAGGAGGATCTGAAAGGATCTTTACAAAAATTTAAAAGAAAAATAGATACAAATTATTGAAATTTATCTTAAAAACAATTGCCACCCTAATATACATCCATTAAAATACATTTGTAATTAAAATTAACACACACATGCATTAATTTAACTACATGTGTGAATAATATTGAAAATTTTACCTCAACACGATTGTCTCTTAGTATGGGTTTACCATCATGTAACCAATTTACATCATGCACCGGATGTCCGGTTACAATACATTGAAATTGTGCATCTTTATCAACATCTACTGTTTGTACTTGTGGCTGAAGATGGGCTGTTAAAGGCGCTGCAAAAATTGTGGAAACATGATCAAAATTAAATGACAGATAGTAAAATTTAATGTTTTATTCTATAGAAATAGCACAGCTGACAAAGATAAATTATTAAAAATTTATGAAACATTTTAAAAAGTGTCATTTAAAATGTATATGTTTTTGGGGGAGGAAATCTTAAGTTTGGACTCTTCTAGAGTGTTAAATAGTGTTTTTATCTAGATTCTTTCTAAAAAAAATAAATGCGAAAATCAGTTAGAAAATAAAAGGTCAGAGGTCTGATTGTACAATTTTTGGGAAATTTTTTTGATTGATTTTCTCTTCAGACTAAAATGTCTAGTAATCGATTTTTTGTCACGTATTTTACGCCTAAATTCATCTCCCTGCATTTAAATCTTGTTTAAAATTTTCCCAGAAAATTATTTTGTTTTTGCTGTTCTTGTTGACTATAGCTATAAAAACCAAACCAAAGCACTTTTTCTCATCATTATTTTTTGTTGTTTTTTTTTTATTTTGATGAAAATTTAATTAAAATATGCAAATAACAATCTCATCGTTAATGTAATGATTACTTAAGTAAACCTACACAAAATTTTGTGTGATGCTTTGGTTGTGTGTTTAGGCTGGTATCAGATGATAAAGTTATTTTTGTTATATTTTTCCCAAAAAAGGATACTTATATAAAGTGTATGTATTACACAAAAAACATAACAGACAAAATGTTTAAGGTTGAAGACATTGTTAGATCTTATAAGCAAATGCTTTTATTCTTATTGCCCTCACTGTATTATTCCTACTCTTATTATAAGTGTGTATTAAAGCAAAGAACTTTTACTTTTACTGTTAAAGAGGACATTTTGTTTGTACGAGTAAGTACTTCCAATTACAGGTTTTAAGTATCAGTTTTGTTTGCCTGCACGTGAAAAATATAATTTTAGTTATACGCTGCCAAAGCAGAGAGATAGAGCCCACTCACCTGTAACAGTTAATGAGACTTGTATTGTCTCCTCGCCAGCCGTGTTATTAACCCAACACAGATATTTACCAGTGTCATCGAGACGTGCCTGTAAAAAATAGAAAGAATTAGTTTTTTCTTCTTATTATTATTTTCTTGTTTAAGTTGAAACATTAAAAGGCATCATGGAAAGGAAATATTTAAACAAATTATATACTTTTGGGAGACATTCTAGGTTATGAGATATTTTTCTTGATTTAAAAAGTGGCAAATTTAAAGTTTTTATTTAAAATTGGATAAAAGCAAAGGTTTAATATAGATAACTTTTAAGATTTTCAAGTCTTATCTTTTAATTTCTATTTTAATTTTATCTACATTAAATATGTATTACTAAACGTATGTGAAATGCTATAACAAATAATTATCACTCATACGCCTTAGTCACTTAAACTTTTATTTTGTTCCATTTTCTTTAATGATGAATAATTTTTATTTATTTAATAAATTACTTAATTATACGAAAATATAAAAATATAATTTCAATGACAACATCATTTCACAACACAACTTTATCAATTTTGATGAGTTGTACAAAATGCTGAATGTCATACACTAACATAGTTTTCAAGGAACAGTGGGACTTTTTTTTCAAAATTCTTACAGACACAGGCCCTAGTCTTCTCAGAAAATGGAAATCGACTATTAAGTGCCAATAAAAGTCTTCAAAGACATTTTTTCCATTCATTTTTTTAAAGAAAATTTTCTAATCGATAGAGAATTTTATATTAATAGAAAGGTTAAAGATAGACAGTTTTCTATAAAAAAGTGATCGACTCTACAGTTTTCTATTGAAAAGTGATCGACAGTGAAATTTTCTATAGAAATCGAAAGGATAGTTTTCTATAGAAAATTGATCGACAAGACAATTTTCTATAAAAAAGTGATCGACAAGACAGTTTTCTATAGAAATCGAAAGGATAGTTCTCTATAGAAAATTGATCGAAAGTATAGTTTTCTATAGAAAAGTCATCGACAGGACAGTTTTCTATAGAAATATGATCGACAGTACAGTATTCTTTAGAAAAGTTATCGTCCGGACAGTTTTCTATAGGAAAGTGATCGTTCGGGCTGTTTTCTATAGAAAAGAGATCGTCAGGAGAGTTTTCTATAGAAAAGTTCTCGATAAGTTGATTTTCTATAGAAAAGTGATCAACAGATCGATTTCGTCAGGATTGTTTTCTATAGGAAAGTGATAAACTTGATAGGTTTCTATAGAAAAGTGATCGACAGGACAGTTTTCTGTAGAAAAGTGATCGACACCACAGTTTTCTATAGAAAAGTGATCGACACCACAGTTTTCTATAGAAAAGTGATCGACACCACAGTTTTCTATAGAAAAGTGATCGACACCACAGTTTTCTATAGAAAAGTGATCGACAGGATAGTTTTCTATAGAAAAGTGATCGACAGGATAGTTTTCTATAGAAAAGTGATCGACAGGATAGTTTTCTATAGAAAAGTGATCGACAGCATAGTTTTCTATAGAAAAGTGATGGACAGGACAGTTTTCTATAGAAAAGTGATCGACAGGATAGTTTTCTATAGAAAGGTGATCGACAGGACAGTTTTCTATAGAAAAGTGATCGACAGGACAGTTTTCTATAGAAAAGTGATCGACAGGACAGTTTTCTATAGAAAAGTGATCGACAGGACAGTTTTCTATAGAAAAGTGATCGACAGGACAGTTTTCTATAGAAAAGTGATCGACAGGACAGTTTTCTATAGAAAAGTGATCGACAGGACAGTTTTCTATAGAAAAGTGATCGACAGGACAGTTTTCTATAGAAAAGTGATCGACAGGCAGTTTTCTATAGAAAAGTGATCGACAGGACAGTTTTCTATAGAAAAGTGATCGACAGGACAGTTTTCTATAGAAAAGTGATCGACAGGACAGTTTTCTATAGAAAAGTGATCGACAGGACAGTTTTCTATAGAAAAGTGATCGACAGGACATTTTTCTTTAGAAAAGTGATCGAAAGGACAGTTTTCTGTAGAAAAGTGATCGACAGTGAAGTTTTCTATTGGAATGTGATCGATAGCGAAGATTTCTATTGATCCATAAAAAATTTATCGACAGTTAAGTTTTCTATAGAAAAGTGATCGACAGGACAGTTTTTTATATAAAATTATTCGACGAGACAGTTTTCTATCGTAAAGTGATCGGCAGTTAAACTTTTTATAGAAAAGTGATCGACAATTAAGCTTTAAATAGAAAAGTGATCGACAGTGAAGTTTTCTATAGAAAAGTGATCGGCAGTACAATTTTCTATAGAAAAGTGATCGACAGGACAGTTTTCTATAGAAAAGTGATCGACAGGACAGTTTTCTATAGAAAAGTGATCGACAGGACAGTTTTCTATAGAAAAGTGATCGACAGGACAGTTTTCTATAGAAAAGTGATCGACAGGACAGTTTTCTATAGAAAAGTGATCGACAGGACAGTTTTCTATAGAAAAGTGATCGACAGGACAGTTTTCTATAGAAAAGTGATCGACAGGACAGTTTTCTATAGAAAAGTGATCGACAGGACAGTTTTCTATAGAAAAGTGATCGACAGGACAGTTTTCTATAGAAAAGTGATCGACAGGACAGTTTTCTATAGAAAAGTGATCGACAAAACAGTTTTCTATAGAAAAGTGATCGACAAAACAGTTTTCTATAGAAAAGTGATCGACAAAACAGTTTTCTATAGAAAAGTGATCGACAGGATAGTTTTCTATGGAAAAGTGATGGACAGGACAGTTTTCTTTAGAAAAGTGATCGACAGGACAGTTTTCTATAGAAAAGTGATCGACAGGACAGTTTTCTATAGAAAAGTGATCGACAGGAAAGTTTTTTACAGAAAAGTGTACGACAGGACAGTTTTTTTATAGAAAAGTGAACGACGGGAGAGTTTTCTATAGAAAAGTGATCGACAGGACAGTTTTCTATAGAAAAGTGATCGACAGACAGTTTTCTATAGAAAAGTGATTGACAGGACAGTTTTCTATAGAAAAGTGATCGACAGGACAGTTTTCTATAGAAAAGTGATCGACATGACAGTTTTCTATAGAAAAGTGATCGACATGACAGTTTTCTATAGAAAAGTGATCGACATGACAGTTTTCTGTAGAAAAGTGATCGACAGGACAGTTTTTTATAGAAAAGCGACCGACAGGACAGTTTTCTATAGAAAAGTGATCGACAGGACAGTTTTCTATAGAAAAGTGATCGACATGACAGTTTTCTATAGAAAAGTGATCGACAGGACAGTTTTTTATAGAAAAGCGACCGACAGGACAGTTTTCTATAGAAAATTGATCGATAGTACAGTTTTCTTTAGAAAATTGATCGACAGTACAGTTTTCTATAGAAAATGGATCGACAGTACAGTTTAGTATACGAAGGTGATGACAGTACAGTTTTCTATAGAAAAGAGATCGGCAGGACTGTGTTCTATAGAAAAGTCATCGACACGACAGTTTTCTATAGAAAAGTGATCGACAGGACAGTTTTCTATAGAAAAGTGATCGAAAGGACATTTTTCTTTAGAAAAGTGATCGAAAGGACAGTTTTCTGTAGAAAAGTGATCGACAGTGAAGTTTTCTATTGGAATGTGATCGATAGCGAAGATTTCTATTGATCCATAAAAAATTTATCGACAGTTAAGTTTTCTATAGAAAAGTGATCGACAGGACAGTTTTTTATATAAAATTATTCGACGAGACAGTTTTCTATCGTAAAGTGATCGGCAGTTAAACTTTTTATAGAAAAGTGATCGACAATTAAGCTTTAAATAGAAAAGTGATCGACAGTGAAGTTTTCTATAGACAGTTTTCTATAGAAAAATGATCGACAGTACAGTTTTCTATAGAAAAATGATCGACAGTACAGTTTTCTATAGAAAAATGATCTACAGTACAGTTTTCTATAGAAAAATGATCGACAGTACAGTTTTCTAAAAAGGTCAGTTTTCTATAGAAAAGAGATCGGCAGGTCGGTTTTTGATAAAAAAGTGATCGGCAGGTTGGTTTTCTAAAGAAAAGTGATCGAAAGTACAGTTTTCTATAGAAAAGTGATCCAAAGGTCGGATTTCTATAGAAAAGTGATCGACAGGATAGTTTTCAATAGAAAAGTGATCGACAGGTCGATTTTCTTCAGAAAAGTGATAGACAGGATAATTTCCTATAGAAATATATATTTTTAATGAATAACAGTTGTTCGCTATCTTGTCTCTGGCAATGTTAGTTTTCTCAAAAATTGGATTTAATTTTTTTAACTCAATTCCATGTATTGTGGATTTTCAGCTTTTTGATTTGTGGTTTCCTTAAGAATTTATCATCTTAACAGAAAACAATAAAATAAAATGAACCGAAAAATATCTTGGATTTTTCTCAGAAAAGATACTTTTTCATTTCAATTGAATATAACAGATTATCGCTCTGTATTTTTGTTAATTATTTAAATTTAAAAGAATCTTTTAAATGACAGCAATCATTTTGATGTCATCATCAGTAGAGATGAGTTGCAATTACTTAAAATGAAGTACATTTTTAATGTTATGTATTCGCAAATTTTTTATTTGTTTATTCCATTTCCATTTTTTATTTGTTCCATTTGACCACATCAATTTAATAAAATCGATAATATTACTGAGTAATTGTTCTCAAAATCGGCATTAGGAGGGAAACATTTGATTCGAACAAGAAGTTTTCGAACAAAAAGTTTTCTACAGAAAAGTGATCGACGATCAGTTTCTATAGAAAACTGATCGTCTGGACAGTTTTTTATAAAAAGGTGATCGTCAGGACAGTTTTCAATAGAAAAGTGATCTTCAGGACAGTTTTCTATAGAAGAGTAATCGTCAGGACAGTTTTCTATAGAAAAGTGATATTCGGGATAGTTTTATACAGAAAGGTGATCGTCAGGTCGTTATTTTGTAGAAAAGTGATCGTCAGAAAAGTTTTCTATAGAAAAGTGATCGAATGGGACGTTTTTTACAGAAAAGTAAAAAATATATATATTTTGTTATCCTTCTTAAGAATCTTCCCTAATATATTTTTCACATTTGTCATATGCATTCATGAATGACAACAATACATACCTTACTGATTTTCAGCAATCCGGCTGATACAATTGTTATGCGGTCACTTAATTGCAATGGTAATAATTGTTCATTCTCTTCCTTAAACCATCTGAAAATATGAAAAATATTTCATAAAAATTAATTAATCAATTTTTGGATAAATAGTTTTTTTTTTATATAAAAACATAACGAATCTTTATAAAAGATTTTATATAGTGACAATATTTTGCTCGTATTAAAGTAACTGTAAATCTTTGAAAAGATGAATTTTCTGTCAGAGAATTTAAGAATCTATAATTTTTCGTTTCTTAAATATTTTCTTTAAAAAGTTTTCTTTTAGTGAAACTTTTTCTCATTTCCTTACTTTATAGCTAAATAAAATGTCTTTAATATCCTTTTCCTGTATTTGAAAATTGTTACGCAAAACAGAAAAACAAAATCACTGCACAAAATTATTATTATCCTGCATCCTACGAGTGCTCTCAAATTATTATTACAAATATTATTAAAGTATAATAAAATGATGAAGAGAAAAAACTATGAAATTATGGATTGAATGAAAAATCGCGCTTTTAAATAAATGTGAAATGAACTGGAGCATATACGCTCACAAACACATATACACACACACACACACACCAAACTGACATACTTCTTATACATAAAGCAGTGAGGGTCATAAAAGCTTTTATGTTTTAAGGTTTATAAGAGAAAATTTAATATTAATACGTGTTCGTAAGTTTTATATATTTTTAAAAATTGTTTTGATTTACACTTGTATTTGGAAATTTGAAAGTATGTCCTTTACTGAATTCTATGCATAAAAACAGCTTGAAGAAATCACGTTCAACGCAGCAAGTACAGCAGCAAGAAGTCATGTGGAACTTTGAAAAAGCAAATGCATTGCATAAATTTTCGCATGGAGCTTGGGGCTAAAGTAATCTCTAATAAAAAGGCAGAGTGCAAAATGTATAAACTGGAAAATGTAGAGATAAACGGCTTGATAAGGCAGCAAGATTTGGAATATAAGAACAAAAAATAGGCAAGTTGAATAGCATCATGAAAAAGCTTTAATATTTTAAGTCATCATCTTGAAATAGTCGACTCCTAAAACTTCAGGATTTAAGTAGTCCCCCTTAGATATCATTTTCATAGACATTTTTGAATTATTTTGTTAGTTTTCTTTGCAACATATTCTCATATTCGAATTTAATAAAGAAATTGTTTGTAGTTTTTTTTTTCCACAAATATTCAATTATTTTTATAGTTTCTCTACTTGCATGAAAATAACTCCATAAAAAAGTATAATGTTTCAGTTTTAATATTTTGAATATCTTTTTTTTTTCACATATAAACATTTTATAAAATTTATATAATTTTTCTACTTATTTTGATTTTAAGTAGCTGTGTGTATATGTAGTTTTTTTGAGTTTTCAAGGGAAAACTAAATTTCACTTGATGTGTTCGTTCGTTTCATTCATGTTTATGGAAAATGAAAAAGTCATGTCATATGAAAAATAAATAAAAAATTTTTAAATATTAGAGCAAAGTTTTATAAACAAACGTGTGCTCAAATAGAAATTTTATGCATTCATAAGTAAGTAATATAAATACAAACTGACAGTTTTACAAACATACAAAAAACTTACATGGTAAGAGTGTGTTTAAGTAACGAGGGGAGCGTGAAAAATATCTAAACTTGGACAATTTCTTAAAGTAAAATATAACAAATTCCTCTATACAAAACTAGAAAAAGAGGAAATTTCGCAAATTATCTACAAGAAAAAATTTTCGACAATTTCTATAAAAAACTAAAATTTTTGAAAAATTTTTTTAAAACAGAAAAGAATTTCGAAAATTTGTTATAAAAAAGAAAAAACATCAAAAACTTTCTATAAAGGGAGAAGAATATTGTCTACAAATAAACGTTTTTGAAAGTTATAAAAATAAGACTTTTTTAAAAAATTCTATAGAAAAGAGAAATTTTCAAAATTTTTCGAAAGTTTTCTATAAAAATTTTCAAAAATTTTCTATAAAAAAAGAAAAATTTTCAAAAAAAATATATATAAAAAAGAGACATATTCGAAAATATTATGTAAAAAAGGGATTTTCTAAAATTTTCTTTAAAAAAAAGAGTATTTTTAAACATTTTTATAAAAAATAAGTTTTTTTTAAATTTCCTATAAAAAAGAGAATTTTTTGAAAATTTTCTATAAAAAAAGATAAAATTATAAACATTTTCTATGGTCTAGTCGATAGTCTAGTCTATAGTCTAGTCTATAGTCTAGTCTATAGTCTAGTCTATAGTCTAGTCTATAGTCTAGTCTATAGTCTAGTCTATAGTCTAGTCTATAGTCTAGTCTATAGTCTAGTCTATAGTCTAGTCTATAGTCTAGTCTATAGTCTAGTCTATAGTCTAGTCTATAGTCTAGTCTATAGTCTAGTCTATAGTCTAGTCTATAGTCTAGTCTATAGTCTAGTCTATAGTCTAGTCTGTAGTCTAGTGTATAGTCTAGTCTATAGTCTAGTGTATAGTCTAGTCTATAGTCTAGTCTATAGTCTAGTCTATAGTCTAGTCTATAGTCTAGTCTATAGTCTAGTCTATAGTCTAGTCTATAGTCTAGTCGATAGTCTAGTCTATAGTCTAGTATAGTCTAGTCTATAGTCTAGTCTATAGTCTAGTCTATAGTCTAGTCTATAGTCTAGTCTATAGTCTAGTCTATAGTCTAGTCTATAGTCTAGTCTATAGTCTAGTCTATAGTCTAGTCTATAGTCTAGTCTATAGTCTAGTCTATAGTCTAGTCTATAGTCTAGTCTATAGTCTAGTCTATAGTCTAGTCTATAGTCTAGTCTATAGTCTAGTCTATACTCTAGTCTATAGTCTAGTCTAGTCTAGTCTAGTCTATAGTCTAGTCTATAGTCTAGTATATAGTCCAGTCTATAGTCTAGTCTATAGTCTAGTCTATAGTCTAGTCTATAGTCTAGTCTATAGTCTAGTCTATAGTCTAGTCTATAGTCTAGTCTATAGTCTAGTCTATAGTCTAGTCTATAGTCTAGTCTAAAGTCTAGTCTATAGTCTAGTCTACGGCCTATAGTCTATATCTCACACTTTGAAAAGGCGCGAGAACGAAAGTTATCACTAGGCATTCTTATTTTCCAACAACCTTTTATAGTTTATTTTTTATTATGGTCCTTTCTTCTCTATCGATCTATGTGTTCTATTTTCTCCTGTCTAAGAAGTAGGTTTTTGAAATTAATAATGAAGAGTTTTTATAAAGAAGTATAATTTTTTTTTTATAAAATGAGAAAATTTTAAATAATTTCCATAAAGACAGCTAGAGTGACCCTCGCATTCTTATTATTATAGTTTTGTGCATTTAGCATACATTCACGTATAGCAGTACCCTCATGACCATAAGAGAATAAAAAAAGCAGAAAAACTATAACAAAAGCGTATCCTGAAAATTGTACTACTAGACGTAGTAGTAAACCTTTTGTTGCTGCAGTGTTGTTTCACATTTTTCCATCTTTTCTGTTTTTACATAACTCACACCATTGAAGGACGATGAATTGAGCTGAGATGAGTTGAATTGAGTAGAACAAAACTCAAGAGACAAAAATGGCAAATTACATCCGTCTATCTTATATAAAAAATACATACAGAATGTATTTTTTATAACATGAGCAGCAGCAGAAAAAAAATCTCACCGTAAGGAGAAAAAAACTGTGTAACATTTACAAGCACACAATTTACAGTTAAAGTTAAAAAATTGAAAAGATCATCATGTTGCAATTGTTTTTCAAACGACATGAGAAAATAAAATACATAGAACGAAAGAGAAGAAAGGAAAATAATAGAAAAATAAATTATAAAAGATTGTTGGAAAATAAGAAAGCTTAGTGACCATAACTATAGTTTTCGCATCTTTTCAAAGTGTGACAGTGTGAGGTAGGTTCTGATAGATTCACATGGCAGTTCTGAGGATTTTTGCAAAGGATACATATAATAGGTCATATAGTAGGCTTAGGACCATACTATAGACTAGACTATAGACTATACTATAGACTAGACTATAGACTAGACTATAGAGTATACTATAGACTAGACTATAGACTAGACTATAGAGTAGACTATAGAGTAGACTATAGACTTGACTATAGACTAGACTATAGACTAGATTATAGACTAGACTATAGACTAGACTATAGACTAGATTATAGACTAGACTATGGACAAGACTATAGACAAGACTATAGACAAGACTATAGACTAGACTATAGACTAGACTATAGACTAGACTATAGACTAGACTATAGACTAGACTATAGACTAGACTATAGACTAGACTATAGACTAGACTATAGACTAGACTATAGACTAGACTATAGACTAGACTATAGACTATACTATAGACTAGACTATAGACTAGAGTATAGACTAGACTATAGACAAGACTATAGACTAGACTATAGACTAGACTATAGACTAGACTATAGACTAGACTATAGACTAGACTATAGACTAGACTATAGACTAGACTATAGACTATACTATAGACTAGACTATAGACTAGAGTATAGACTAGACTATAGACAAGACTATAGACTAGACTATAGACTAGACTATAGACTAGACTATAGACTAAACTATAGACTAGACTATAGACTAGACTATAGACTAGACTATAGACTAGACTATAGACTAGACTATAGACTAGACTATAGACTAGACTATAGACTAGACTATAGACTAGACTATAGACTAGACTATAGACTAGACTATAGACTAGACTAGACTATAGACTAGACTATAGACTAGACTATAGACTAGACTATAGACTAGACTATAGACTAGACTATAGACTAGACTATAGACTAGACTAGACTATAGACTAGACTATAGACTAGACTATAGACTAGACTATAGACTAGACTATAGACTATATATAGACTAGACTATAGACTAGACTATAGACTAGACTATATACTAGACTATAGACTAGACTATAGACTAGACTATAGACTAGACTATAGACTAGACTATAGACTAGACTATAGACTAGACTATAGACTATACATAGATAGACTATAGACTAGACTATAGACTAT